ACAATCATTACTACTTTTGAAGCTAGTGACATTTTATTTTAATGTTTAAAGAACGTGCGGTATGATAAATAATTTGATTATCGATTGTCGGTGAAGAATGTCAAAATATTCAATGTTAATCAATACGCCTGTAGTATTTTTTACGAGTTACTTTTTTCAGGCGTTGAGAAACCTTTGGTGACCCCGTACGTTTAAATGTCCCTTGTAAAAACAAGTAGGCGTAACAGACAGTACCTGATCTGATCCAGTTAATTGGAGAATTGAGCGCGCCAACGAATGGTCTCGTCTACACTGTTATGAATTTGATTCTAAATATGTCCCAGGTTTTGTGCAATGATTCTATCATGATCAGGCTTGGTGGAGGAAAATACAGAATTTATGTATTGCAAAAGAATACAAGAAAAATGGAACTGGCATGAGTAAATGGTTTCACCATTTTTCTGATTAGCGTTTCTTAAACCAGAAGATGTGGGTGATATTCGGTTAAATTTTATTGCTTTTCAATAGAATTTTTAGGTTGTGGAAGCATTTTAATTGCTTTTTAAAACAGAACAAACCGTAGACGGCATTTAAAAACCCATTCGTTTTCCTTATTACATGTACTTTTATATACAGACCTTAATTGAACAAGGGAAACAAAATTCAGGGCAAACACAACAATTTTGATTAAAATAGCTAAACTCGGTGATATTTATTGATACATGATTTTTAATTTTAGTTCAGTTATATGTTTTGGAGTTGAGTGTGACGTCCATTTTCACTGAACTAGTACACATTTTGTTTAGCCAATAGGGACCAGCTGAAGCCCGCCTCCGGGTGCGGGATTTTCTCGCTGTGTTGAAGACCCATTGGTGGCCTTCGGCTGTTTTCTGCCCTTTGGTCGGGTTGTTGTCTCTTTGACACATTCCCCATTTCCATTCTCAGTTTTATTTCATTGAATTTAAACATTACTTTTTCCATTTAACAATTACTCCTTGTCACAACTTTATGTTCGTACTCAAAGACATTGATTAACCAACTAAATGTAATGTAGCGTCTACGGTTATTGTGCTATTTCTGACTGAAGGGTCCCTTATTTGCTGTTTATGCACTCTGACCCTTTCTAAGAGGGCATCTCCTGTTTGCCCTATATGGTTTTCTTTGCACGTTGTGTATGTTGCGAAATGTACCAGATTGTGATTTGTACAGTTGTGTCGTGCATTTACTTTAAATGTCTGTCCAGATTTAAATATCACAAAGTCCCTTTCGGCAATTAAATCGCATGTTTCATATCTTCGATCTCCGAATCTTTGTACATCTTTCAAAGTTCAGGCCTTGAATTTGAAAAGATCAGTTTTCATTCACATTTTATACTTTACACCGTGATATGATTGACAGCATTCCGCCACCGCCTGTCTGTCGATCGGGTAAAACTATAGAGCGTCATAGTACATGCATTTTGTTTGGTTTAATGCATCTTATAATACAACATAAACTTAGCCTCAGATTAGTAATTTATTTGGTAACTCCCAAATTAAATAACCTTTTCCTTAGAGTACTTTTATATCCGTACGTGCAATATTAAATAACTTAATAAAAAAACTATGACTATAAACTAAACGACAGACGCATGTACATGTCATTGTCAAACTAAATCGATACAAACATTTTATAAAAAATCTTTTGCAAACAAAAAAAGTGTAATAGGTAAGTACAACGGAGAAATTCTCTCAGCTGTTTGTTTTATGCACCGAAGTCAGATAACGAATTGTACTTCAACCCAGTGATAGCCTGTGATAAAGATTTAGCATGCGTAATATATCATATTCAATTTTTACCAAGATGGACTTGTTTGGTATTGGTAAGTTTAATTAATTACATCTATAATCATATGTTCGGATAAATAAGAAGATTATACAATGACATAATATAAAGTTCTAATATTCCATACCTTAACAAAAACAATACTGTTAAACTCAAATAATTTCATTGCACTTTTAATTCTAAAATATTAAAAACTGCATTAGTTTAAAAGTGCTAAATAATCATGCATTTTATTTCGAGTTCCCACATTTAATTTTATCAAAATAGACCATATAAGAATTACAAAACAAAGAGTTGCCGACAATATAAATTATGACCTTAAGCAAATAAAACCTATAACCTGTAAAATGTTTACCTATAAGATAAAAGAACGAGAAATATGTATGAATTTTCATGTTACTTTTGTGATTGAGGAAATTGAATATTTTCACGTATAAAGCAATTCGGGTTTTATTTTCTTGTTTGTTAATTGGCAAAAACTCCAAAAGGGTAAAATTTCGTCATTTAAGGGTCTAATTTCAATTTCGACAAAACTTGACTTATATGTAGATCTTGTCCTACGGGTCATTCTTGCTATTTAAAGTGACTGTCTATATATCTTTCATAGTATTCAAGATATTCGTCATTTAAGGGCAATAACTCCTATAAGACATAGTCTGACAGTTTTGATGTAACAAAGACAGAAGGTTGATCCCACCATTCTGAACATTTCTTTCTTTTCAGATTTTGGCTGTTCATAGCGATTCTCAAGATAATAGACCGTGACAATACTAGCATTTTACCCCCATGTTATATTCTAGCCATGTCGGCCATGTTAGTTGACATGCCAGGGTCATCTGACACATTTCAAAACTAGATAAATAAAGCATATATAGCAGACAAATAAAACAAAATAAAAAAAAACAATATCAATTAAGAAGTCTAACAAACTAAAAAAAAAAGCACAAGCTACATATCACTATGTGCATGTACTGCATCGGCATGAGATGTTATTTAACTAGTGTTTGTACCAGTTTGTTTAATAGCTAATTCTAGATTTGTGCATCATTAAAACGAAACGATATCAAAATTTTTAAGTTACCTGGTAGTTCTGACTCTTGGGAGCAGTACTGCTGTTTCCTGTGATCTAAAATAACAGTTTTGTATTTCAATATGAATTAAGATCAAGTTCCAGTAAATGGGCTATGTCACAGGTTTTGGCATTTTTTTTCATATAACTTTGGCTTTTGTAGATTACTGCTCTAAAAATAAATAGATGTAGTATGATTGCCAATTTTCCACCAAAGACCAAATAGTTTTAATTCTGTATTTTTTTAAAGAATGTAGTTTTGAATTTTCAAGTATAGATTTTCATAAGTACTTTTTAAATCTCAATAGATGAACTTAATATGTACGGTCCTACATTCTGTCGATACTTATGTGTTGGCATAGCACAAGATCATGTATTTTCTCTGACTGACTATGGCGTCTTTATACTTAATCCATTAGATGTGTACTGATTGTTATTTTAGTTTTGGATACATGATTTTTTTTTTATTGTTTTGTATTAAAGGCTTTTAATGTTTAACTGAAGTCTCATCTCACGACAAAAACAATATTTAAGTATTAATAACAATATGAATAAAGCACTATTTACAGTTTATAAAATTTCTATCATAAGAGTAGTTGCTAGCTTTTACACATACGTCATTTTGTCTCTTGTGAAGAGTTGTCTCATTGGCAATCATACCACATTCTGTTTATTTTTATATCAAGACTTCTTTCTTGATTAATTTCGTTTTTTTAAAGATTATTTTTCGATACCGTAGTGTTAAATTACTGGACAATAGCTAAAAGGTTGAGAGAAGGAACGAATAGTATGTTGTTAAGCACCTAGCCTATTGCTCAGCTTTTTACACTATACCTGAATTTAAGTTCAACGGAATTATATCTCAAGTTGTTGAGACATCAACAGCAACACAATCATATATACTGTTTTTGTAGTTCGTTTGCCTTACGGTAAAGGATAATATTATAATTATAGAATTTTTTTACGTGATAAGTAAGGACAAAATTCAAAAAGCAATACATTTTAGTTTCAGATCTAGGTGTCCTTGATCTTATAACGCAAAGTCATTGTATTTTGGGGTATATCGTCCAATGCAAATATTTTGTGTATTAAAAGGATTTTATTTAACTAAGGATATATCAATTTCAAATACAACAAAGCAATAACACATGTTTATCGCTGTATTACATTAAGAAAAGATTCCTCTGTCGTGTTTCAAATAAATATTTTTAAATATATCATTCCGTAGACAGACCATAGATATAATATTATCTAATGCTTCAACAAATATATTTACTAGTTCTCATCTAGACTTCTAAAGCGTGTGGGAAAAAACCTAAATTGAATACTTTAGACGATAAAGAATTCCATCCAGGCTAAGTAAAGACGTGCAAGTGTTTCATCCAGGCCATGTATATAGACTTGATAACATTTTACTTGCCCAGACCACACGCTAAATATAATTAGTAACTATGGAATCAACCTCAGTTTTTTTAGATGATCTATACACTATAATATTAACTGTTATTCTATGTATAATAAGACACACAAGGACAAAAATGTTCAATTTCCTTGTCTAATCAAAAAAAATTTAAAAGGCCGTGCATAGAAAGAGAAATCAATCCGGTGTCTTAGTGATATTTTCACTTTTTTCCTTTGCTTTCCTGTAATGATGTCGCATAACTATTAAGTCTTGTTTACATTCTATTATTACCAGGGAACTATAAATATAGTACTATATGTGTCTCTGTTATTACTAAATGCTTATATAGTAACCATTTTGGTAAATTTCAAATACCCCGATATATCAATTTATTTTGTTTTCTGTAGACAATCAATACATAATATATCAATTAGTACCATAATATTAGCAAGGAATTGTATATTTAGTTAAAAGGACAGAAAGAGTAGTTGCAAAACACTTACTAGACAGTGTTTTTGTGTAATTAAGGTAACTGATGAAAAAAGCTTCAGAAGGTATATTGAAACCATATGCAAATATCGTAAACGTGGTAATGTACATTTGGTATCATTCATTAACACGTGGTACTGGACTCCAGTATTGATACCCCTGGATAACTAGTGTGAACAAGGGATGTTAATATCTTCTCTCTATTTGCAGGTTTCGATAAAGATAACGATTATCTACAGTGCAACACGGTTATCAGCAGCTTGAAATAATTGTTTGTCGAGATGACACCAGGGAGATGGCTACCCGTCAGATAACACGATTGTTACTGATAGCATTGGGATTTTATATTTTTGGTCTCATATTTTTCCTGGTCGGAAATGATGTCAAGGTTAAAGATCAAACTGAAGATCATTATTTACCAATAGATGAGGTGTTCGTAAAGGCATCTAATAAAACAACGTATTCATACGATAAACAGGTTATGTTGGATTTTCGACAACTTCACAGGTCAAATATTTCAAAACCAAAAAAGTCTGAAATTCAATCTAAGTTTGATAGGTTGTATAAATTAAAAAAGACCGATGCTTTACAATCGATAAAGAGGCTTAAAAAACTTGGGAGTGGTAAACTTCAAATGAGGAAACGAAATAAGAATAAGATAGATAACAAAGAACTTACAAATCAAGATTATTGGGACAGTTTAAAAAATCTTACATTTAAAGAGAAAGTAGACCATATTTTAAAAATATATCGTATCCGAAATAGTACAACAAACCTTAAGCTGCGATCGATAACGACAGTTAAACAACATACAAGAAATGACAATACTACTGATAATAATAACCAAAAGAAAGAAAACACTAAATACCATTATACAGGAGAAATTAACTCTGCATTGACAAAAAGTAACGTAGGATTTTTAAAAGTAGCCGAAGATATTTTTATATATGCATCATATTATGATGACAGGAAAGAAACGCGTTTTATACGAAATGTGATAATTACAAGATCTGCTAAGAATTTCAATCAACAACTTTGGTGCCATTTTTGGAATCCTACCATAAATGGTTGGGAATCGTCTGGATTAGAGTTCTATGAGACCTGTGAAAATCATCTCAAGACGTTTGCAGCTTACATTGGGTCATGTAAAATTCCAGGCAATGTACAATATGATCATATTTACATTTCAAATTCTGACGACGCGAACAACGAAGAAATGAAAAACATAATTCCTGTAATACAACATTCAAACAAATCTGAAGTAAAAGGCGATTTAGCTGTGTGTGTTCCGCCATTATTTGGGAATGTTAATTCTTTACGCTTGTTAGAATTCATAGAATTTTCTATCATACTAGGATATAAGCATTTTACTTTTTATTCACAAAATGTAACCAATGAAACTTTAAAAATCTTAAAACTTTATCAAAAGGAGGGTCTAGTTACGATTCTTGACTGGCCTTTACCTGTACAAGAAGACTGGATCTGGTATCACGGACAGTCAGCTGCTGTCTGGGACTGTCTTTATAGAAATATGTATGTATTTAAACATGTGGCATTTCTTGACATCGACGAAATTATTTTCCCCCGATATGATGAAATGCTTCCAAACTTCATAGACAAAACAATAAAACTATATCACGAACAAGAATCGGAAGGTGGCGACATTTGTGCTTTTAGATTTCAGAGTGCATACTTTGATCCCCTTCAGGATACAATTATTTCAGATATATTTGATTTTTCAGACAACATTGAACGCCATCTAGTCACATTAAATTCAATAAGCAGAAAGGAAGATTTTAGTACAGTTCGAACAAAAATGATTGTTGATCCAATTAAAATTTTTGAAATTGGAATACATCACGTGAGCAAGCCAATGGAGGAACATTTCCAAGTTGAAAATATTAATCCTGAGATTGCATATATCCATCACTATCGAAAGTGTCAAAGTAACTTTGGTGGGCGTTGTGTTGGTCGAATTACTGACAATCATGCAAGGAGGTATCGCAATCGTTTGCTTACCCGATTAAAGTGGCGCTTTTACCATCTGTTTAAGGAAATATTATAAAATTGATCAGTTCGTCATATTATTGTTTTGCTCATTTCAATCTGTGTCATCCTGATTGTCACATGTTGTTGTGGTTATTCCATATGCATAAAACACTATCCGGGACAATCATGAAAGGTTTATACAAATTTTAAACAGAATTATATAGACGAAGAACATCAATAAAAGAGCTGATTCTGTCCTTTTGGTTTGGTCAAGTGCATATAAGGATTTTGTGTCTTAAAATAATACAACAGATCTCTGTTTTCCATTACATCTCTCGTGTTGTGTGGAGGCCATAAAGGGTTCCCTGTCCGTGAGGATAATTTTATTTCATTTTTACAGTTAAAGGCCTATTCATTCTTGAGTTAACTTCTCTTAGGTATACTAGTTCATTTTCTCTTTTCTTTCGGTAAGATTATTTTTCGAAATTGGTATGCAGTCCGTACGCATTATTTGTCATATTCATACAGAGTTTCATGTCAAGATATCTGACAAACATCTTGATGCAGCCCGTGATTGTTTAGATGTTTGTATTGTTTCTGTATTTTGTAGTGAGATTTTTGGGCAATTAATGCCAATATTTGGTTGATTTTTTTGTATTCTTTAATGCAGATTTAGAGTGATCTACATATAGCTAAAAACCTCACTCAACTCAATGCCAGTGGCGTCTTGATCTTGCGGTGGAAATTTCTCCGTGTTCTTGGCATGAAAATAACTTGAAAAGAATCATTATGCATGTTTTGAATAATTTTGGAATAAATTACTGATTCACGTTTTAAAATATCCGTTTCCACGAATAAGATCAAAAAGCTTACTTGAAGCCAGTCGACAAATACACAGAATTTTTTTTTTATGTTTTTCACCCGTAGTAATTCAAATAAATCATATAAAGAAAAAATATGACCACTGTAGAAACCCCTTGCTTAGTTTTTCATTTAGATAAGCTATTTAAATTATCTATAATATCACCTAGTGTAGTTTAAAATAGATGTAAAAACCTTTCCTAAACAGTCCTTTTTCACGTCTTTGACTGTTTCATTGTATGTAATTGAACATTTCAAACTTTACATCACTATGTCGGGAGTAATATAAATTTCTATGAAAAATCATGTCCAAAAAATGCCTACTCTGCATAAATCATTTATATATACACTATGATGAAACCATTAATTAACTAACCTTACTCATACCATTGGTAATAAAAAAGAACTCAACGTTCCCTATTTTTTTAACAAATGTTCATTTTCTTTCCCTATCAGTGAAATATTAAAAATCACTTAAGTGCACGTGTATTCTTGCAGTAAAAAAACATATTTTCTGTCTTATTCAACCTCAGGAACAATTTCAAAAATTTTGTGAACTTAAATCCTTCTTTTTTCTGTTCTAATTCTATGCAGTGTTATGTGACATCATTGCCTTATATTTTCGAGTATCAGGTCCTGTCCACGATATAGAAACATATTATGTCGTCAGATCAAAGGGAAAATGTACAAATTGCCGATCATAGTAGTTATTGGGCGTGTTTCTGTTTGTAATAGCCCAACTGCTAAGCAGATCGAAGAGGTCGTCGTTATTTATGATTTGTTCCTTGCTTAATGTCCAGTTGCAAATATCTCATACATATTCAGAACGAGAACAAAGAAAAAAAAATAATACGATAGATACGTAATTTAAAGCAAGTTGACCGATGGGTGGTAAATTTGAACTACAGGTATCGTATGGTCAAAAAGTTTGCCTTACAACAGGCCACATACGGACTCAGAGAGTTGGTGCAAGGGTTCATGTATGTTATGCAAACTTTTGGAATATATTATTTGCTCAAATTTGATGTAGCATTTCGAAAGAACAACATTCTCAACAACAGGCAACATGCCCTCAGGAAACATCATAACTGCAAAACTCAACTAGTTAATGTTATTAACGATTGGTAAAGTGCCATCGACCACCGGCAACAAGTAGACATTTTTATTTTAGATTCCGAATATGCATTCGACACAGTATCGCACAAACTACTTAAAAGTAAACTCCAGAAATATGGCGTACCAAAAATATCAGGAGCTGGATAGATTCATTCCTTACCAACAGATCGCAATGCGTTGTTGTGAATTGGAGTAAATCAGGCGATTTATCTGTACTTTCAAGAGTCCCGTAGGGAACCGAGTTCTCAGATAAATCTTGTTCCTCGTCCACATTCACGACAAAGCGGAACATGTGACATCGGAGATCAGACTATTTGCAGACGACTGTGTGTGCTTAGAGAAAAAACAACAATCAAAACTGCTTAGAGCTACAGAAAAACATAGACACCTTAAGAACATGGACTAAAACTTAGGGACACTTTTCCAACATGTAAAATGTATTTTAAAATCAATAAAATACCTGGGAGTGAGCATTAGTAGCGATTTACATTGGGGAAACACATCGAGGATATATACAACAAATCTTATAGAACACTTGGTTTGTTAAAACGAAATCTGTCATCATGCCATATGGAGGTAAAGCTGCGAGCGTACAAGGGACTAATTAGACCTGTCCTTGAATATGCGAATTTACAAGATATGTCCTTGAATATGCGAATTTACAAGATATGTCCTTGAATATGCGAATTTACAACTAGAAAACGTCCAGAAAAGAGCAGAGAGATTCATAACATCTAACTACTGTTACGATCCAGGTTGTATGACTTCAAACCTAAACCAAATTAAACTAAAACCGCTGAACGATAGGCGACGACAAAACAGACTGATTTTATTTTTGCAAATGCATACACCATCTAACCGAACTACCAACAGAAAATCTTCAAGGACCACAAAGAACATTTATAGCCAACATTTTCTCAGAAGTCCAGCCAAGACGGACACTTTGAAATTCAGCTTCCTACCAAATACAATTAGAGATTGGCACCGTCTACCTCCGGATATCATCACTAAGATGCAATTCGCGGAAAAACCAGCTAAGTTGTTCACAAAATCGTAAAGGGGGTCCCAAGTTGTATGTAAGTTATTAATCTGGACACAGGCGCGATGTAGTATTTAAAATGTCCAATGACGTGACATCTGGGACTAGGTGACATAGTAACCAGTCAAGATTAAGGTTCTTTAATGTTCAATAAGCGTGGCACTCCCTACAAGTGACATATGATTAGAAGTTAAAAACGTTTCCATTTCGATCGGACGTGCATGGCTGCGTATTTATACATCCTGCGCAGCAAAACAGAAACTCTTTTAAGCACGGAATTTACCGCATGACGACAGAAGACAAGGGGTGACCACATTTCTTTTCCACAGTAAACTCATGGGAGTTAGTTTGCTATTTACAATGTATATTGTGAAAATTATATAAATCTTATTCTGAGCGGTTGCGTAAATTTTCAACATAATGACATATTTCCTATGTATTAGCTATGACAGAGACATATATATATACATTCAGTATATATGTCTCTGGCTATGATTCATTGTGATATTGGTCAATAAATTATAACTTGAAATTGAAGCTAAAAATAAGGGCCATTTTAGGGCCTTATCGAACCTACTCGTTTACATAACATAAAACTTAGTTAATAGTGCATAGATTTTCAGATTTTCATATGGTAAAAATCCAATACCTGTATACTTCTAATTAATGGTTGCAAACGTTCTCTCAAGAAGGTGGTTCTTTGAGCACACTGATAATGTGGGTCTAAGAAATAAAAAAAACTTAAGGTTGAAAAGACGACATAAACCGGATAAAATAAAGACCCAAGGATAAGCTTCGGTTTAAAAAAAAGATACCATTCACCCTCTGGTCTCATGGTATTTTTTTTTAAAACCACCAATCTCCTTGTTTTAAATTTTACTAAGGAAAATTCTAAAAGGCAAAACAAGTATTTTTTAATTTTACTGAATTGTTGTGCAGAACAAAACAATAAGGGTCATATACATGTATAGTTGAAACAGACTGTTAACATCGGTATAGACATATGCTTGCCTAGACTTCTCCCTTTCAGCAGTAAGACCCGTCTGTTTGGCTGTTCGTGATGTATAAATATGCAACAAAGAAAGATCAGAATGCGGACATTGAACGGTATAACTGGTCTTGGAAGATAGCAATGTTCCCTACATGTTAAAGCAAGACGAAATTTCCAAAACATTTCCATTATGCCCTTTCTCTAGTGGCAGTCAACATTTCTTGTCTATCATCACAGTCAACCTCTTTACAGAAGAAAACAGAAAAGCCTGGTTCGATTATAGTCAGAATACTGTGGCTGAGTGAGATGATATGCCTTCCTGTTACTTGAAAGCTAGCAAGTAAAATACCTGAATGAGCTCATTTCCAATCTCCTATAGAGAATGCCATGAACTTTGCAGGTAAAAGAAACCTTGCAACTAGCATGACTAGATGCTCAAAGGAGCCTGTATCGGTCATCTACTATTTTTGCCAAAAAATTGATACATTGGAACAAGAATATGTGTGTTGCATGGAAACAGAGTGGGCTTAATCTTGTCTTGCTTGTCATTTTTGCTGGACCAAGTTTCTGTATATCCATAATAGTTTTTATAGATAAAAACAAAAACTGAAAAAAACTGAGTTAAAAATTTAGAGGAAACAACTCCTTTAAAGAGTTGATTGACAATTTAGTTTTATGGTGACTTATTTGTAGACCTTGTATGGCTGATCATTTTTTGCTATTCAAGTTTTCAATCTATCTACTATAGTTTTCAAGATGAAAGGGAAAAACTAAAATTGGTAAACAAAAATCATCAATAAAGGCCAATAACTCCTGTAACTAGTCAACTGAAGATTTCAGTCATTTTCACATCATTTGTAGATCTAAAATATGATCATTTTTTTGCTGTTTTCAATTTCTCTCTATCTACCATAACTGCTACAACCCCCCCCCCCCCCAAAAAAAAAAAATTGATAAAATCATCCATTAAGGGCAATAACTTTGATAAGGAGTTTACCTACATTTTTATCCATATTGACTTACTTATAGTTATAGATATTATTTAACTTAGAATTTTTGCTGCTTATCTACTATACTTTTTTGAGAGGAAAAAAAAAAACACAAAAAAAGGTTTAAAATAGTCATCCATGGGCAATAACTCCTTTAAGGATTCAGTCATGTTGATTTATATACATATTTTGCTGAACATTATATCCCAAAACTGAAAAATTTGCTAAAAATATGTTGTGTGATTTTTTCTGATACATGAAAGTTGACAGCTGATCATATGCACCCTATGTCAGTTTTGTTCTATCTGCTGAGGTTTTTGAGATACAAGCAAAAAATTGCAGTTTGACCCCTATGTAATATTTTTAGCCACAGTGCCATGTCTGTTTATGGATCAGTTACCCATATATATATTTAAACTAGATTCCCTAAGGAACATTCAGAGTTGTTTCAGAGAGAAATTTTATCAATTAAAGTATATGATAACAGACAGACAGATGAGGACGGAACACCAAGTGATGGCAACAGCTCAAATGGCTCATCTGGCCATGTTAGCTTACAAGTTTTGGGGTCCTTAAGTGACCTATTTTATATTATTTCAGTGGCTCTACTATGGAGAATTCCAATAGTTTTGGTTAAATAAAAGTTTTGTGGATCTTGACCTGTTAACCACCTTTGAGAAAATCTGTAAATATTCTTCAAATTTGTATATCCAGTGAGGTGCACATCGTCAATGTATTTACAAACATTCTATGAGCTTGAATGCTCTGGGATGAAAACTAGAGTTGATTAATTAATGTTGATGGTGCTACTGTGATGAGTATTACTACAACGTGTGTCCTCCTAGCTAAGCTATATTAGGTTTGTAGTTTTGATGTTGTACCTCTCTCACCACTGTTTTTGTTTATGGTTTTACTGTATTATTTGCATACCTTACATTGAACAGCACAATGCAGGCAGATTTTTACTTCATTGGATATATCTCCCCATTATACATATTAATTTTATCAATCATGAAAAAGGAAGCCATTGTAGACATGATGCACTGTCATGTTAGTTTTGAAAACCAATAAGTTAATTCACATTGCATCAAAAAAATCCTTATTTGAAAGTTTTATTGTAAAAGACAATATCTTCTTTTTAACTAATAAGCATTATTTAAAACTCAAAGGTCTTTAAACAGCTTAAAATTATTATCTGATTGGTTTTCAAGGTGAATTTTTAGAAACTTCAATGAACACTAAATAAATCAATTAAAGTACATTTTTATTTGGTGGATGGACAGAAATAAAAGTTTCAAAGGTTGAAGACTAATATCTATAACACACAAAACATCTGAATATTTTTCAGAGTTTTGCAATTTTAAGATCCAAAAGTAAAGACTGTTGTCAAGGGTTTTTGGAATAAGTTATGGGAGTCAGAGAAAATTTTGTGCCCAACTAGTACATTTTCATTAATAAAATAATTAAGATGCCTAAATTTTGCTTTGAAAATATGTGAATGAAAATAAAAAGAAATTACAAGTCAGAAGTGAACAACTGTTGAAGCACAAAGTTTTCTTTTGTTATTCAAATTCAACTTCTCTACTGTGACAACTCATTGCAAAGGTATTTCACTTGACCCCTTATATTTGATTTTTAAGGGAATTTTTAATGTTATCTCATCAACATTTAACCTTTATACATATATTTAAAAATAATGGAATCTAAAGCTATATTTTATTTTGTTTGTTTCAGTTTCATTTATTTTAAGCCATTAAGACAAATCGTTTGACTCGAACATGCCAGAATGCAAAAGGATGTAACAAATTTTCTTTTCACTATCATATTATTACCAATTTCAGGTTTTTTGCCTACAAAGCTGTGCCTGAGGAAGTGATGCAAATTAAGGCTTTTAATTTATCCTTCTGTTGTTGTTTTTTATCATACCTCATTATGCTTATGCATGTTTAATATCTAAATTGATTCGCACCAAAATCATCTGTTTTGTTAAAGCTTAATTTAAAAGATTAATTATATCTTGTAGCACCACATAATATTTGTGTTTAAATAAGTACAATATCCCCGGTAAGATATTAAAAATCTTAAATCATACAACTACATTTAACTTTGAAAGAAGCAGATGTAAACAGATGCAAATACAGATATATATAAGTATAAACCTCAAATATTTTCGTAACATTTAGAAATACAACTATGAAAAGTGATACTTTTTTGGTCCCTATATTTAATAAGACAATCTACTGGTCAAAATAATAAAGAATAATTGCCGACATATAATGCTAGTTAATAAATGATAACACATATATAGCTAGTTAATAAAAGATAAAAGTTATTCTTCAAATCTGTTCACTATCATTCACAACAACAAATAAAATCATAACGACTTCATGGTAATATCAAATCTTCTTGGTTCAACCTAACATTTGTTCTGAATATAATATCATGAAACTGCTTCATATATGAATTCCATTTGTTCCATTTGGGACTAGCTTTTGGTGGCATATTTCACTTTTCCAGCTTCATTTATTTCACAAATATGCTGAAAATAGATTGAGTAAAAAACAGTAATGTAAAAAAGAATAAATACATGCATACAAAACTAATTATGTAAATTTGTGTAAAACTCCTTTAATATCAAACTTAAGTTTTTGCTATAAAACTAAAATATCCATCAAATCGGACAGCCAGGGCTTTAATCACTGACAGCAAAGTCTATACTCCCTGAGAGCAGGGATACTCACTAAAAGCCAATGCTATACTCACTAACTATCAGGGCTATACTAACGGAGAAGCAGGGACACACTTACTTACAACCAAGGTTCTATTCAATGACAACGAGTTCTGAACTTACTGATAGCCAGGACCATACTAACTTTAGTGCAAGTCTTAAAGGAAGACATTTGTCAGATTGTCTCCGGCTCAGTAATTTGGTGAATGGAACAAAAGTTCTTTATTGGATGAATGAGGTTCCTGTTATCAATGCAAGAACAAACTGATTATGTCATGGAAGACATTTGTCAGATTGTCTCCAGCTGAATGGAACAAAAGTTCTTTATTGGAAGAAAGAGGTTCCTGTTATCAATGCAAGAACAAACTGATTATGTCATGGAAGACATTTGTCAGATTGTCTCCAGCTGAATGGAACAAAAGTTCTTTATTGGATGAAAGAGGTTCCTGTTATCAATGCAAGAACAAACTGATTATGTCATGGAAGACATTTGTCAGATTGTCTCTAGCTCAGTTAGTTGGTGAATGGAACAAAAACTAAAGTTCTTTAATGGATGAGAGAGGTTCCTGTAATCAATGAGAGAACAAACAGATTATGTCATTGATTCAAAATGAGAGAGGAGCTGATATGTATATGGTCTATATACATGTATATGTAAAAACCTCAGGAAAAAAATCCTGTCTTGTTATTGAAAATCATGATGATATGCAAAAATGGATTAGCTATACTGCACTTACTACTGAAATGTATTCAACTAATTACCTGGGTTTTTATTTTATTTACTTTGGATTCTTCTATTTTTGTGGATACCAATTTGCATGGATTAAATAATATTGTATTTTTGTGGATATTTAATTTTGTGGTTTTAACAAAATCTGAAATTACAAAAATTTGTTCTGCATTGAACATTTAAATTTGTGATTTACCTATACCCATGAAATCAATGAAAATATGTATCCCAGGAATTATAATGAATCCACAGTATTGACCAGTTTATGAGGATTTCTAGATTAGTGATGAATACACCATTTTGACCCAGTGCCAAAACCATAATTTGTTTCAAAAATTTAAAGGTAAAACAAATACTGTAAATTCACAAATTATTGCATGCACTTATTTTTATGATTGTTGAACAATGGACAATACATTGCTTCACCGAGCTCATGCTGGATACGACCAAAGAGGTCCAACCCTGAACAGTTGGGGCAAAAATGGACACAATATTCGTGCTTGATACAGGTCTGAATTTGGATTGTAATTAAATATTTGACACATAATAGGTTTCTGACACAGAATAACTGTAGTCAAAGAACTTAGAATTGGTTATATGATTTGACTTTATATTCAATTTTTTGCTTTTGTGCAATACACTATGCTGTTGCGAATTGACCCCTTCTCCCCCCTCCAAAAAAACAAAAAAAATGTACCCCCCCCATTTTTTTTGCAAGAAAAAAAATATTTGAAGAAATTTTCTTTTTAATTTCTGAAATCTGAAATGAGAAAAAATAGTCCCCACCCCCTCACAATTTCTTTTTTACCCCCCCCCCCCCCATTTTTTTTCACCTCCCCCCTTTTTCCAAAAAAAAAAAAATTCTTTCCCTCAAGATATGGTCATAATCTCAATTCAAATTTCCAATGGAGTTTGCAACCATAATTACCCATTTAAATACATCATAAAAGTCTTAAAATAGAAAATTACATACAAAATCATTGCTAAAATTAAAATTCCTTAATCAGCATTTTTAAATAGTAACTTCTAAAAATAGATTGACAGCTAATCACCTCAAGATAATACAACATTTCTTTATACATAATTTAAAAGCAGTGTAAGGGAGGTAATCCAAAGATAACATTGTACTTTTTTTTAATTGTCCATCAACCAGGACACCCTTGTTTTTTCTCACTTTTTTGCCCCTAATTCCTAAATGGTTTGAGCCATAACCCCCCAAAGCCAATCTTAATCATCCCTTTGTGGTATGGAAACTTGTGGTATAATTTCAGAGAGATCCATACACCGTTCCACAAGTTATTGTCTGGAAACTAGAAAAATGTTTATTTGGGCCCCTTTTTGACCCCTTATTCCTAAACTGTTAGGACTATAACCCCCAAAATCAATCCCAACCTTCCTTTTATGGTTATAAACCTTGTGTTTATTTCATAGATTTCTATTTACATTTACTAAAGTAATTGTCCGGAAACCAAATGTCTTCGGACGACACTGACGACAACGACGATGTGATACCAATATACGACCGCAAAATATTTTGCGGTTATATAAAAATGCCAGATAAATCATTGCCATTTCAGGAAAGCTGAATACAAATGATGCTATAAAAATTTTAAATGTGAGTTTTAAATATTGCAAAACCTACCCTGTTGCAATTTTTGCAAAAATAAAAACATCGCAATAATTTCTGAATTTACAGTATAGTCATAGCACTAGGCTTTCTTATGAAGGAACTTTTGTCAAAAGGTTCTGGAGTAGAAAAAAAAGTTTAATCAACCCTAACATAACGCTAAGTAAACTGCTGGTGGCCATAAGGCTAAGTAAAATAAAAAAATTGAATGTAATAAGAATAAACTGCTTCGCCGAGCAGCTGGATACAACCGCAGAGGTCCAACCCTGAACAGTTGGGACAAAAATGGACACAATATTCGCGCTTGATACTGGTCTGAATTTGGATTGTAATTAAATATTTGACACATTATAGGTTTCTGACACAGAATAAATGTAGTCAAAGAACTTGAAATTGGTTATATGATTTGAATTTATATTCAATTGAAGATTTCTTGCTGTTGTGCAATACACTGTGCTGTTGCGCAATACTTAGTAAATCTGTTTTCAGACTATATAAAAAGAATTAGCAAAATAAAAATTGTGACCCCCAATTTCTTTCTTTGGAAAATTGAGTAAAAAAATTAATGTTTATAGTAATATCTAAAAATAAAATTCCTTCATCAGCATTTCATAGTAACTTCTGAAAATAAATTGACAGCTAGGACTTTGCAACCATAAAAACCCATTTAAATACATTCTAAAAGTATTAAAAATAGAAAATGACATCATCATCATGGCTAAAATTAAAAAAATCTTCATCAGCAACATTTAATAGTAATATCTAAAAATAAAATTCCTTCATCAGCATTTAATAGTAACTTCTAAAAATAAATTGACAGCTAATCACCTCAAGAGAATACAACATTTCTTTATAACAAATCCATTGTAAGGGAGGTAACTCTAATGGAAAAAAAAAACCCAAACAAAGAATAACCAATTTTGAGTATAAAAATTTATTACCACTGAACCCTTTGATATACACTATCATAATATTATATGTATTTAAATCACAGTATTTGATGTTTCTAGAAACAGCTAAAAAATATTTCATACTAGAACTAGCAAACAAATAGCAAAGAGTACCAACATAAAGAAACAAAGCTAAAGTAATTGTCCATTAACCAGGTCACCCTTGTTTTTCCCCCCTTTTTTGCCCCTAATTCCTAAACAGATTGAGCCATAACCCCCCAAAGCCAATCCTAACCATCCCTTTGTGGTATGGAAGCTTGTGGTACAATTTCAGACAATTCCATACACTGTTCTACAAGTTATTGTCTGGAAACTAGAAAAATGCTTATTTGGGCCCCTTTTCGACCCCTAATTCATAAACCGTAGGGACCATAACCCCCAACCTTCCTTTAGAGGTTTCAAACCTTGTGTTTAAATTTCATATATTTATATTTACTTATACTAAAGTTATTGTCTGGAGACAACGACGGCGACGACGACGTGATACCAATATACGACCGCAAAAATTTTGCAGTCGTATAAAAATTATTGGGTACAATACTGAACTTCCTGTTAAAGATCCTGGGTAAGTTTGCATTGTTTCTGATGAAAAGTCTACTATTTTCTTTCTATCCAAAATGAAAACAAATTGATAAAAATCATCATTACAGGGCAATAACTCCTATAAGGAGTCAACTGATGATTTTAGTCATGTGACCAAAAAATTGTTGTATACTTACACATATATTGTATAATGTAACAAAAAGTCAGTGGAAAGGACAAAAACTCACATTTAGATCTCTGAAGTATTCATTGTAATCTAAGGCGTAGCCAACTATGAAAATATCTGGTATTTCAAAGCCAGTATCTGTAAACATAAAAATAAACTACAAATTACAACAAATTACTAAAAAAAAAAAAAAAAAAAAAAAAAATTATATTAAACTCTTTTAAAGGGGCATTAGCTATGAGATACAGAAAAAAATAAAATAAGATTTTTTTTTTTCAATCATTAATAATTATATTACATGTATGTTTCATTATAATACGTTATTTTGATTGGCTAACAGTAATCTTGCGTCACTCTGAAATTAACCTTCATTTCAAAATGAAATGTAATATTCATGATGACACGAGCTTTCACAATAAAGTGCACAGGTAAATAAAAGAAAAACTTGATAGAAATCGTGTTTTCATGATCCTAGCAAAAAAAATGTAATTATAGGTATTGAATGCTTCTGTTAGTAATTTTATAGGGTTGTAAAAGCTTCTGCGCTTCATACAAAATGTACTTCGGTCAACGCTTTTACACCCCAATAAATTTACAAAAAGAAGCATTCAATCCTTAAATGAAATTGAAATAGTGATATAATAATTCGCTTTAAGCAGCCAGTTTGGTAAAGTTTTGTCAAAATAAGCAAAGAAACATCGCTAATGAATTATTCACTTGTAAGTGAATAATTCAACCTCATTAAATCCTTATTCATGTGAACTTCAATTGAACCCCTTAGCTAGAGATGGGTTATGCATGAACTAGGAGTGTTCAGCTATTAAAAAGAAAATTGTCAACATTTTGAAGTGAAACAAGGGTAAACCATTTGGTTGACTGATTCAATTAACAAAAACTCATTCTCATACAGGTAATAAAATGCTCCGCTGGGCGCAGCTTGATACGACCGCAGAGGTCGAACCCTGACTAGTTGGGGCAAGTATGGACACAACATTCAAGCTTGATACAGCACTGAATTTGGATTGTGTTTAAATATTTGACACAACATAGGTTTCTGACACAGAATGAATGTGGTCTAAGAACTTATGCAAACCATATCATTATTATTTGCTTTTATATATAAATCAGAAATAACCAATTTAAAATGGAAAATTTAAAAAAAAAAAAAAGGAATAAAAAATCCCCCCTCAAATTTTTTGAACCCCTTATGATTCATCACCCCAAACTCAATCCCAGCCTTTCCTTTGTGGTATGGCACCTTGCAGTACAATTTCAGAGAGATCCGTACACTTGAACACAAGTTATTGTCTGGAAACTAGAAAAATGCTTGTTTTTAGGCCCCTTTTTGGCCCCAAATTCCTAAACGTTTAGGGCAATTACCCCCAAACTCAAACCCAGCTTTCCCTTTGTGATATGGAACCTTGTAGTACAATTTCATAAAGATCCATACACTTACACACAAGTTATTGTCCTGAAACTTGAAAAATGCTTGTTTTTTTGCCCCTTTATGGCCCCTAATTCCTAAAATTTTGAGGCAATTACCCCCAACATCAATCCAAGCCTTCCCTTTGTGGTATGGTACCTTACAGTACAATTTCAGAGAGATCTGTACACTTGAACACAAGTTATTGTCTGGAAACTAGAAAATTGCTTGTTTTTTGGACCCTTTTTGGCCCCAAATTCCTAAAATTTTGAGGCAATTACCCCCAAACTCAAACCCAGCTTTCCCTTTGTGATATGGAACCTTGTAGTACAATTTCATAAAGATCCATACACTAACACACAAGTTATTGTCCTGAAACTAGAAAAATGCTTGTTTTTTTGCTCCTTTTTGGCCCCTAATTCTTAAAATTTTGAGGCAATTACCCCCAAAATCAATCCCAGCCGTCCCTTGGTGTTATGGTACCTTGCAGTACAATTTCAGAGAGATCCATATACTTGAACACAAGTTATTGTCTGGAAACTAGAAAAATGCTTGTTTTTTTGCCCCTTTTTGGCCCTTTATTCCTAAACGTTTTGGGCAATTACCCCCAACATCAATCCCAGCTTTCCCTTTGTGATATGGAACCTTGTAGTACAATTTCAGAGAGATGTGTACAATTGAACACAAGTTATTGTCATGAAACTAGAAAAATGCTTGTTTTTTGCCCCTTTTTTGGCCCCTAATTCCTAAAATTTCGAGGCAATTACCCCCAAAATCAATCCCAGCATTCCCTTTGTGATATGGAACCTTGTGGTACAATGTCAGAGAGATCCATACACTAACACACAAGATATGTCTGGAAGTTACAAAAATGCTTATTTTTGGCACCTTTTTCCTTAACTATTGGTACCATAACCCCCAAAATCAATCCCAACCTTCCTTTTGTGGTATTGAACCTTATAATAAAATTTCATAGAGGTCCATTCACTTAAACTAAAGTTAGAGTGCGAAAACCAATGTGTCTTCGGACGACGACGACGACGCCAACGTCATACCAATATATGACCGCAAAATTTTTTTGTGGTCGTATAAAAACGATTATGAACAAAATTTTTAAACCTATAATATGAAATCAAACAGACCTAGAAAAATCCAATTGCACGAGTTCGCTATCTATTTATATCTTTGTTTATGTTTATATTGGTTTATATGACTGTCAACAGTCTTCAGAGGTCACCTCGATGGTTAATTACAAATGTAGTTGGCGTCTAGACTAAAATACACACAAAATGCTGATACATATTATCAATTCTGTGCATTGTATATTGTTTATTTTAGACTTTTTATAAATTGGATATACGTTTTAGTATGTTATAAATCAAATATGAAATTCTGCGTCAAATCGGTGAACATGAATTTGACAGCTAATGCCCTTTAAGCAAAGTCAAGTTTTGAGTGTGATCTTGGTGCAATCAAGGTTACTTTAGTTATTTCATTTTATCACCTCTTTCTATTGTAATCTGTAAATTTACAATCAGATCAAGAAACCAAATTTACCATCCTTTTCTACTTATTTACATTCTGATCTATAACCCACATTTACCATTCCCCCCTTCTGTTTTACATTCTGATCTATAACACACATTTACCATTCCCTCCTTCTGTTTTACATTCTGATCTATAACCCACATTTACCATTCCCTCTAGCTGTTTTACATTCTGATCTATAACCCACATTTACCATTCCCTCCTGCTGTTTTACATTCTGATCTATAACCCACATTTACCATTCCCTCCTTCTGTTTTACATTCTGATCTATAACCCACATTTACCATTCCCTTCTTCTCTTTTACATTCTGATCTATAACCCACATTTACCATTCCCCCCTTCTGTTTTACATTCTGATCTATAACCCACATTTACCATTTCCTCCTTCTGTTTTACATTCTGATCTATAACCCACATTTACCATTTCCTTCTTCTGTTTTAAATTCTGATCTATAACCCACATTTACCATTCCCTTCTTCTGTTTTACATTCTGATCTATAACCCACATTTACCATTCGCCCCTTCTGTTTTACATTCTGATCTATAACCCACATTTACCATTCCCTCCTTCTGTTTTACATTCTGATTTATAACCCACATTTACCATTCCCTCCTTCTGTTTTACATTCTGATCTATAACCCACATTTACCATTCCCTTCTTCTGTTTTACATTCTGATCTATAACCCACATTTACCATTCCCTTCTGCTGTTTTACATTCTGATCTATAACCCACATTTACCATTCCCTTCTTCTGTTTTACATTCTGATCTATAACCCACATTTACCATTCCCTTCTTCTGTTTTACATTCTGATCTATAACCCACATTTACCACTCCCTCCTTCTGTTTTACAATTGAAGCTCCTTCTGTCTTCATTTAAAATCAAATCTAGAGTCCTTATCATATAACAAAATCAACTAACAATAAAATGCTCCGCTGGGAGCAGCTTGATACGACCGCAGAGGTTGAACCCTGAACAGTTGGGGCAAGTATGGACACAACATTCAAGCTTGATACAGCACTGAATTTGGATTATGATTAAATATTTGACACAGCATAGGTTTCTGACACAGAATGAATTGTGTAAGAACTTTAAAAAAATCTAATTTACCTATTCAAACCATATCATTATTATTTGCTTTTATTTATAAATCAGAAATAACCAATTTAAAAAGGAAAATTTTAAAGAAAAAAAAATCCCTCCCCCAAATTTTTTGAACCCCCTTATGATTCATCACCCCCAAACTCAATCCCAGCCTTCCCTTTGTGGTATGGTACCTTGCAGTACCATTTCAGAGAGATCCATACACTTGAACACACGTTATTGTCTGGAAACTAGAAAAATGCTTGTTTTTAGGCCCCTTTTTGGCCCCAAATTCCTAAACATTAGAGCAATTACCCCCAAACTCAAACCCAGCTTTCCCTTTGTGATATGGAACCTTGTAGTACAATTTCATAAAGATCCATACACTTACACACAAGTTATTGTCCTGTACCTAGAAAAATGCTTGTTTTTTGCCCCTTTTTGGCCCCTAATTCCTTAAACTTTGAGGCAATTACTCCCAAAATCAATCCCAGCCTTCCCTTTGTGGTATGGTACCTTGCAGTACCATTTCAGAGAGATCCGTACACTTGAACACAAGTTTTTGTCTGGAAACTAGAAAAATGCTTATTTTTGGCCCCTTTTTGGCCCCTTATTCTTAAACGTTTTGGGCAATTACCCCCAAACTCAATTTCAGCTTTCCCTTTGTGATATGGAACCTTGTAGTACAATTTCAGAAAGATCCATACACTTACACACAAGTTATCATCATGAAACTAGAAAAATGCTTGTTTTTTGCCCCTTTTTTTGGCCCCGAATTCCTAAAATTTTGAGGCAATTACCCCCAAAATCAATCTCAGCATTCCCTTTGTGATATGGAACCTTGTGGTACAATGTCAGAGAGATCCATACACTAACACACAAGTTATGTCTGGAAGTTACAAAAATGCTTATTTTTGGCCCCTTTGGCCCCTAATTCCTTAACTGTTAGTACCATAACCCCCAAAATCAATCCCCACCTTCCTTTTGTTGTATTGAACCTTATGGTAAAATTTAATAGAGATCCATTCACTTAAACTAAAGTTAGAGTGCGAAAACCAATGTGTCTTCGAACGACGACGACGATGCCAACGTCATACCAATATACGACCACAAAATTTTTTTGCTGTCGTATGAAAAGCATAACTTACAATCAGGCCTGTAGCCAACACTTTTTGGTGTTCTTTTGACCAGTAAACTGAAATAAGACATAAGAAATATATTTTTTAAAAGGAATACAATGGGGAAACTGCATCAATATAAACTTTAAATAAACAATGATAGTTTTAGGATCAATCTCTTTAGATTCTTTTTTCCCCTTTTATGTTAAAAACTTTAGGATTCACCAGAATATCTTAAAGCTATGTTAAAAATACTCATAAGATGTTATATGTATAAGAGCATATGGAACATGTTAACAGGGTAACACTGCCACATTTAGTAACTACATTAAAATAGTTGCAGAACAAGGCCACCTTCCATTATAACCAAACAACCAAACAATTCTAAAAGTTATCCTTCTAAGGAGCATTGATATGTAATTACAAGAAAGTGTTACATGTAAAGGTTAATGGAGGATATAGGGTCAAACTCTGACAAAAGCGTTTCTTATCAAAAAGGTATGATATGCTTATATACAAAAGAGAGGCGAAAGATACCAAAGGGCCATTCAAACTCATAAGTCGAAAATAAACTGACAAAGCCATGGCTAAAAAAGAAAAGGACCAACAGACAAACAATAGTACACAAAACACAACATAGAAAACCAAAGACTGAGCAACAAAAACCCCACCAAAAACTGGGGTGATCTCAGGTGCCCCGGAAGGGTAAACAGATCCTGCTCCACATGTGGCACCCGTCGTATGTACCATTACATCATGATTCAGACATCCTATAAAGTGATTTATATACATTTGTAAATGTAAATAAGAAAATGTCAAATAAATATATCTCCAAAATAGTAATCAAATCACTGTGTGTATATCCTAACATTGTACCAAATACAACAGATTTTTCCAACAGACATTCACTTTATTGAGTCAAGCAAAAGTGGATAACAGATATGGGCATCATGATAACTTTTCATAGTCTTTAGCCGTTATACCTATAACTACATTGATCCTATATTTGCTCCCATTGCTTCACCGTTGACTTTTTACTAGAAAGGCACATAAACACTGTGTAGCATCACCACCCAATATAGGTACCCCCGAAGTAGTGGAATAAACGAATGTGAAGTCAGGTAAGGTAACGTCTTAGGTTAAATTCTTCTTATTTTCATTATATTCGATGTTTTACTGACAAGTAAGGTTTTGTGATACCGATTCCTAATATTTTAGCTACTATTCCCTTAATTGGCTTTCTCTCTTTGCAAATCTTCAGAATTGGACCAGTAGGTACCTGTTCAAAGAAGCATGTGACAAGTTCAAACTTGTTAAAAACACATTTATCCTTCAACTATTCATTTGACGTTTTCGTAGAACAAAGGAATATCATATTTAAGCTTGAACAACACTGTATTTCAAAATAAACTATTGTTTTCACAGAGAAATTTATTTAAATAAAGCGTAAAAAATGTATGGCAAATATATTTTTACTGTACAGGGAATAGAATAGATACTTTTTGCTATCAGTGTTTCTTTGCTTCGGGGGGTACCTATATTTGGTGGTGATGCTACACAGTGATAAACATTAGACATCAGCCAAAAATTTATATAATTTCATAATTTTTGTGGTTTCTAACAAAATGAACTCTGGAGACTTGATCAGTCAAATTGAATTGCTGGAATCACATAAATGACCACATTAATTCAAAACCCAAACCAAATATTCATCACATCGATAAATTTGCAAAAAATATTACTTAAATAAATGGAGAATGTGTCCCCATGGACACAGATGATGCCCCCGCTTGCATACAACATTATAAAAGGACATAACTCAAGAACAATAAATGTGACGCTACCCAAATTTGTACTTGATCTGAGTTTTGTGGTAATAAGTATTGTGTAAAGGTTTCATAATGTTTGGTTGGGGCAAATATAAGTTACAGAACAGAAACTAAAAATTTTGCATTTTTTTCCATTTATAAAGGGGCATAACTCAAGATTGGTTAAAGTGACCCTACCAAAATTCAAACTTGATCTGCATTTTGTGGTAATAAGCATTGTGTATAAGTTTCATAATATTTGGTTGAGGCAACTTAAGTTAGAGAACGGAAACTAAACATTTTGCAATTTTCCCATTTATAAAGGGACATAACTCTAGAACAGTTAAATTAATGCCACCAAACTTCAAACTTGATCTGTGTTTTGTGGTAATAAGCATTGTGTATAAGTTTCATAACATTTGGTTGAGGCAAACTTAAGTTAGAGAACAGAAACTAAAAATTTTGTAATTTTTCCATTGACAAAGGGGCATAACTCTAGAACGGTTAGAGTGACGCTAACAAAATTCAAACTTGATCTGTATTTTGTGGTAATAAGCATTGTGTATAAGTTTCATAATATTTGGTTGAGACAAACTTAAGTTAAAGAACAGAAACTAAAAATTTTGTAATTTTTCCATTTATAAAGGGGCATAACTCAAGAATGGTTAAAGTGACCCTACCAAAATTCAAACTTGATCTGCATTTTGTGGTAATAAGCATTGTGTATAAGTTTCATAATATTTGGTTGAGGCAACTTAAGTTAGAGAACGGAAACTAAACATTTTGCAATTTTCCCATTTATAAAGGGGCATAACTCTAGAACAGTTAAATTAATGCCACCAAAACTCAAACTTGATCTGTGTTTTGTGGTAATAAGCATTGTGTATAAGTTTCATAACATTTGGTTGAGGCAAACTTAAGTTAGAGAACAGAAACTAAAAATTTTGTTATTTTTCCATTGACAAAGGGGCATAACTCTAGAACGGTTAGAGTGACACTAACAAAATTCAAACTTGATCTGTATTTTGTGGTAATAAGCATTGTGTATAAGTTTCATAATATTTGGTTGAGACAAACTTAAGTTAAAGACCAGAAACTAAAAATTTTGTAATTTTTCCATTGACAAAGGGGCATAACTCTAGAACGGTTAAAGTGACGCTAACAAAATTCAAACTTGATCTGTATTTTGTGGTAATAAGCATTGTGTATAAGTTTCATAATATTTGGTTGAGGCAACTTAAGTTAGAGAACGGAAACTAAACATTTTGCAATTTTCCCATTTATAAAGGGGCATAACTCTAGAACAGTTAAATTAATGCCACCAAAACTCAAACTTGATCTGTGTTTTGTGGTAATAAGCATTGTGTATAAGTTTCATAACATTTGGTTGAGGCAAACTTAAGTTAGAGAACAGAAACTAAAAATTTTGTAATTTTTCCATTGACAAAGGGGCATAACTCTAGAACGGTTAAAGTGACGCTAACAAAATTCAAACTTGATCTGTATTTTGTGGTAATAAGCATTGTGTATAAGTTTCATAATATTTGGTTGAGGCAACTTAAGTTAGAGAACGGAAACTAAACATTTTGCAATTTTCCCATTTATAAAGGGGCATAACTCTAGAACAGTTAAATTAATGCCACCAAAACTCAAACTTGATCTGTGTTTTGTGGTAATAAGCATTGTGTATAAGTTTCATAACATTTGGTTGAGGCAAACTTAAGTTAGAGAACAGAAACTAAAAATTTTGTAATTTTTCCATTGACAAAGGGGCATAACTCTAGAACAGTTAGAGTGACGCTAACAAAATTCAAACTTGATCTGTATTTTGTGGTAATAAGCATTGTGTATAAGTTTCATAATATTTGGTTGAGACAAACTTAAGTTAAAGAACAGAAACTAAAAATTTTGTAATTTTTCCATTGACAAAGGGGCAAAACTCTAGAACGTTTAAGTGACGCCACTAAAATTCAAACTTGATCTGTATTTTGTGGTAATAAGCATTGTGTATAAGTTTCATAACATTTGGTTGAGGCAAACTCAAGTTAGAGAACGGAAACCAATTTTGGGACATACAGACGTACGTACGTACAGACGGACAAGGGTAAAACTTAATGCCCCCTCCACTACGGCGGGGGCATAAAAATTGAGTCTTATTTGACTCACAGTTTTCTTGAGGAAGCTGTTCATGTACATGGATGATACTGTCTGTATACACAGATCTTCATCTTTGATTAGTCAGTACCTTACACACAATTCTAATTACTGTGGATTCATTTATTTTCGTGGGTACCAATTTTCGTGGATTGAGGAAAACTTGCATTTTCGTGGGTATTAAATTTCGTGGTTTTGGAATAGTCTGCATAATTCCTTTAGAAAATTCGTAATTCGTTGCACATTTAAATTCGTGGTTCCCCTTTTCCCACGAAATCCACGAAAATTAGTACCCAACGAATATTAATGAATCCACAGTATGTTAAATAACAGCTTCTTACCTGGCTACTTTAATAGTTTTAGGTTCCACAGCTTTCAGAAGGGACAGTAATTTTAACATTGTGTTCCCTGTGTCAATTATATCCTCTACAACTAATACATTCTACAAATTGCCAAAAAAATAACAGTTACTTATGAAATCTTAAATCACTTTTAATAACATTGTCTTGTTCATTCATTATTTTTTTGCATTTGTTTTTTTTTCGTTTCTCTGCCATAAGCATTTTGCTACACAATGTGTTTTATGTGTTTTCAATCCCATTTGTCTTTATAACTTTAAAAGTCTTTGCGAAATAAACACTGTCTAACATCATGGTCATAAATAAGTACATACATTTGTCTGTATAACAATGCATTTGTATAGAAACCTTTTTTTTTCCATGTTTATGATTCCAAGCATATTAATTTCAATAAGAATTAAACTAGAGGCTCACGTAAGTCTATGTGCATAATCAACAATGGACTCTCTCCAACATTGTAGACAAGAATAGATATAAAAATAAGATGTGGTATGATTGCCAATGAGACAACTCTCCACAAGAGACCAAATGACACAGAAATTAACAACCATAGGTCACTGTATGGCCTTCAACAATGAGCAAAGCCCATACAGTTCATGACAAAAAATTTTTTTGTTGATCTTGTATTGCTGATCATTTTGTCTGTTTAGTTTCTCTCTGTCTTCTTTAGTTTTTGCTCATAACAAGAAAGAGGGTAAAAAATCCTCTTTTAAGGGCAATCACTCCTATGAAGAGTGGCAGTCTACTAACTATATTGGCAAAATATCACTTGTTTGTGGATCTTGCCTGGCTGATAATTTTTGTTATTCAAAGTTTCTATTCACCTATTATAATTAAATTTTTTATCATATAAGGCAAAATGCAAAATAATTGTAAAAATCATCATTAAAGGACAATAACTCTAATAAGGAGTCGTTGGAAAATTTTCCTCCATTGGTCTTAAATGTAGATCTCGTCTTGCAGATCATTTTTGATGGATGATATTTAAGATGGAGGAACTAAAGCTCTGAATTTTAAAGCATACAAAACTTACATTTACTTAAATGAATATTTGAAATAAAAGAAGAATGTCTCTGAAGACACTAATGCCCCCACTCAAGCTTCAAACAAACAAAAATGGGAAGGACGGAAAAACTGAAGGACGGAAAGACTGAAAGGACAGAAAAATGGAAAGACGGAAAGACGGAAAGTCAAGGGTAACACTTTATGATTTCAGAAATACTTTGGCTTAGACAATATATATTCAACTTGTTTATTTTATTTGTTAAAATCTAAATCTGTTTTGTGTCGAAAGCACCAGTTAAAAAGACATTAACTACTTTCAAACTGATTTAAGATTTTTAAGTGTAAATTTCAACCAGGACATGAGTGGACCCACATTGGATGCAGGTTTAAAGAAAAACTCTTTTTTCCCTTGGAGACCTTTTACAACACTCAGGAAATCCACCAAACCAGGTTTTGATTTGTTGTGGCCTTATGTACCTGTTATTTTGAAGTGATACAGTTAATGATGTTATCACTCTGCTTCACATGTTCTTTTTTTTTGTATTCATACTTTGTTTTATCTATCTCCACTGATCTGACTTAACATTCATTTCCATTGAGATAATCTAAGTTATCTACAGTGATAACTACTATCCAACTGAACATACTTTCCCCTTTAGATTTTCTAAGCTATCTCCACCAATTACTTCTATCTGACCTGAAGATTGATCATCCTAAAAGACAAAGTTCAAATGATAAACTGCTCTATATGTAATTACATTGTATATGCCTAAATAAAATGTTGTCCAATAATTCATGATGAAATTAAATATTTTATCAAAGAAAAGATATGAATATTATATCTAATAACTGGTTGTACAAAAATGTACTTTGTAACAAGTTCAGAGTGAGGAAATCAGAATAAAGATTCAAAGACTTGACTAAGCTGACTCATCTTCGCTAGCCAAGGGTTACGATCAAGTCCCCTCTTCTCAACCCTTGGCGGACTAAGATAGAATTTTGGATCCATGAGGTAATGATTTCCATTGGTCGCTGTTGTAACTGGCTGCATCCAATCAAAAAGAGCCTTTAAGATGATAATGTGTAGATGTAGAAAACATAAATAAACAATTGCCATGTGCAGATTGTGCAACAAGTCTTTACCCCCAAAACATAGCAAGATATTTTGTGACAATTGGGTATGTTTCTCGCACAATGTTGGAATACTAACGTATATTTTTGGTTCCTGCTTCATGAAATTTGTAAATAAGAGACACAACCATTTTTAAAAAATCACACTGAAGAGAGTTCAAGTGCTACCATTGGCCCAATAATAAAGTAGTCTGAATAGGTGTGACTTATGTCTACCTGTAGATGGCGCAGCATTGTAATAGCAAGTGTTGGCTTATTATGCCAAGGGTGGAGAGGAGGGGACTGGATCGCAACCCTTGGCTAGCAATGATGAAGTTGAATTTACTGAATCACAGTTTAATGCATGTACATGATCTACAGAATAATGTAATCTAGGTAAAATGTAAAACAACAGTTGTGTAATAAAGTTTTGTTTAATTGCTTAAAAATTAAAAATAATTTCTAATGACATCTGAAGGAAGTCATTTAGTAGATTTGTATAATACTTTTTGAATTTCAAATTCACTGGGCTAAAAAAGGGGATTTATCAATACCTTCTCCTTCATAGAATGCATGTAAATATCTAAATGAATTCAGTAATTTTTATTTAAAAAGTTATTTCTCAAAATCTTGTCCTTCTAATTTTAAAATAATATATCATTGCCATTGAAATTTCTTTTTAATTGATACAATCTTTGAAAGGGGTCACCATTTTTTTAGAGTATAAATAGTTGAATTTCTGAACACCTTGAAAATAACTTTGAAAAGGCCAAAGAGAGTATGATGTCATGACTGCATTTTACATTACAATCTCATTCTGCAATGTTTTAGATATGACAGGTATACTTGAATTATTTATAGATCAAAAATGAATTCAATGATCAAATATACATTTTACATCAATAAAGCAAAAATTATTGTGGCAATAACATTTTTTTAAAGAAAATTTGTAGGACAGGTCTTTGAGAACAGGCAATTTAAATTCAAGTTATTCAAAGTTTGTGGGATATTTACACATGTATTTCTATCTGTTGGTTATTAAAACTTTTTATTGAAAATTATGAAAGTAACAGATATCATTTTTTGAAATATATTTGCAGGTTGCCTATAAATTTTCATCAAAATTCATGAGACAGTCTACTTACCTTAAACTGACCCAATAACAAAACTTAACTATTGTTGATGTCACCATCAATGCTATTATTCATAAATTACCAGTATGCCTAAGCATATATATGTAGCTTTATATAAAAAACAAAGATGCAGTTTTTTATGCAATCATTGAACCATTAAAATGAAGTCAAGGATAACAGCCAAATGCAAGACAGATTCTTCAGACCATAAGGCATCTTTATTCAATATATAGATTTTACAGCACCTTCTACAACAGAAAGCTTTATACAAATACAGTCAAACCTGTATTAAGAGACCACTCAAGGGAGAAGGCAAAAATGGTCTATTAATACAGGTGGTCTTTGAATACAGGTTCCCCAATTTGAAAAGAAGGATGCATTTATGTGCATTATAACTTTTGAATGTACTAGTGTAAGTAAAACAATACTGCATTGGTCTCGTATGTATATCCACTATGACTAATTATGAGAACTGTTCATTATGTAATTAAATTTTTTCCTTGCCTTTTTGTATTTTCTTTTAATTTGTTCATATACATCACAAGATAGGATTCTTGTTAAATTATATCCAATCTAATTCCTGTGAAAATACCCCAGGGCGCAGAGCCCTCACATGTTCTTCAAGATTTGATATAAATTGCTGGTCGCGTTAAGCAGGTGGTCGCTTAATACAGTTAAAATATATAGGGAAATCTATTAGGGAGGGGGGGGGGGGCCTTGAAAAGTGGTCATTAACAGCAGGTGGTCGTTCAATACAGGTGGTCATTAAGGCAGGTTTGACTGTAGTTCGAATTAGCATTCCTACGACTGGCATTCTGCAAGGATGGTCTTAGTTGAGACAAAAATGTAATATCATACTTACAACATAACTTTTTAGTCTAATAAAATCAACAGCCAGTGGCACAGATTTGTTACGATGACTATTCAACTGTTTTATCCTGTCAAGAAGATCAGTGAAGAATTTATATCCACCTTTAAGTACACATAGTGCAACAATTGGCTCCTCCTGGAAATCTTGTACTATGTCCCTAGCTAACCTCTCCACTCTAAAAAAAAAAAGAAATCAATGTGCTTGTGAGCACTGAAGGGTAAAGATTGCTTTCATTTTGAAATTTTGTGAATTTTAAAATAAAACAATGAATTGTATTTTGCTAGGTAAATTAAAAATTTGAGTTAGAGTTATCTTCCTTTGCTCATGGTTGTACATTTGTAGTTAAACCTATTTTTATAACAGATTCATACACAATGCATTACTTATAAAATTTTAAATAAAAAAAGGTTTACATGACAAGTATGGTAATTCAAATACACATCATATTGTAACTTAAATATCAAAGTATAACACATCATCAATAAATTGTATGACATTGAATGGATAGAATCTAAATAATGATTACTTCACTGCACTAATTTGTCTGAACTATCCAAGATAATGATAAACCTTGGAAGATATAGATATCAAGTCAGTACCATAGGGTTTGATTGCATTTCATGCAATCTTTACCCAAAAAGTATTATATAATGTTCAAGAATTTTGATTTATAAAATACTGAACGAGTGTGTCAAACTCCAATCATCATTTGATCTTCTCAATGCAACACATTTTTGTGCCTACTTCTTTGTCAACTTAAAATGTAAACAGTATACACAAAGAAAACAAACATAAATTATTAAGTCTATTCAAAATTATATTAAATCTGTTTTTCTTTAACAAGCTGTTGAAAAATTGTGAAAAAAAATTCCATCCTATTATTTTATTGTTCAAAATGACATGAAAAAATGTGTATAATCAGGCACGTAGCTACGTTTACATCAAAACGCCGGGCATGCTCTTGAATTTTGGTAAACAAATATTTTAATCTAAATTAAATAAAAAGAACTGGTTAAAAGCACACCGGCCTTGTAATTCTTTCTTCAATGGCGTGTAATTGCGAACAAATGTGACGAAATTTACTTTTCAATCAAATGGTATCATATTATACATGTTATATATTTGTTCATTTTCTTCCCCGTGAATTCTGTTACTTTCCCTTTGTTTTTAAAAGCAATTCATTATCTGCCGAGATTCGATGTTGGCATTTTTGTCGAGCCTATGACATCTATGACGTCGCGAAATCGAGACATGTATAGTGATCCTAGATTTCGTGGGCGGCGTCAACATTTAAGTTCAGTATGTGGTTAATTTTTTTTAAATATCAATAAATTTGTACCTTTATGAAATTTACGGAAGTTGGACAGAAGCTTTCATGGTCAGAGCATAATGATGAAAATATATTTTTAATATCCCGTATTTTATGAACTGATGAAAAGAATTTCTTTTTGCATTTAACACGTATAGATACAGTCTGGGGATAAAATTGGTTACAAATCATTACTTTGTCAAACCATCATCAAATTTTATGAAATTTTAGCAGAAGCTTTTTTATGATTAATATCTGGAGGAAAATTTTGAAAGTATATTTTTTTACATTTTTAGTATTATACTGACAGACAGACTTATCTTTTCGCAATAAACAGACGGTCTGGGATTGTTTTTTTTTTACATGATAAATTTGTAAACCTTCATAGATTTCATGAAACTTGGACAGAAACTAATATTCCTGATCAAGAAAAAATATCTAAAGACAATGTTCGATTTTTTTTAAATCCTGTAATGGACTGATAAATGAATTCACTTGCAGAAAGCAATCCCATGCGAGAACCAGGGTTCCACGAACACTTTGCGAATTTTCATATTACATCTGAACATCTATGAACATTAATTATATATTTGATGTCCATTAACGAAATTTACACATAATAAGGAATTTTTTGTTGATTGGTTGCTTTACCAACGGCTCCTTTTAAACATATTTTACAGTAACTGGTTTGGACATTTTGTCTAAAACCATTGACATTTAGATTCCAAATCAACACGTTAAATAGATAAAACATAAACAAATAAACAATTAGACTCTAAAGTCTAAAGTATGTTTGTTAATGATATTTTAATGACAGAGATGGTATCTCATTCTCGATAACTCGTTAGCCTCCAAGGGCTTCGCCCCATCGAACCCACTACCAGGAGGTACTATGACCTGGTCCCGCTGGAGCCCTCAGACCCCTCGTAGAGGTTCGGGCGTACACTTAAAACTGGTCTTGCTACGCCACTGATAACTATTAAATAGTAATATTAATCATGTTAATGCATGTATTCAAAATGGTTTACAAACCTATCGGCTACAAGACCTGCAGGGACTAAAACTCTTTTCAGATCCTCTTCATAATGTTTAGGTATACAGAAATAATCCATTTTATAGCCAGGATTATCATCTTCTACCTAAAATAACAGAAATGGTTGTTTTATATGCGTCTTTAAATTTTCAAATGCTGCCAATTCTTTTGTTAATTCGTGCACATGTAGTATTCAATGGCAAATTTCTGTTATATAACCATGTGATTATATCACCAGACTCAATTAACCAATAGCTATGTCTGTCAGTAGATTAGCAAACAACTCCATCCTTAGGAATGAATGTTCCTGTTATTTACATGTAGGTAATAATAATTGAAAAGGAAAATGAACAATTTAGCTGTATAACATACTTTTTGATGCATGATGTCATTACCACACCTGACCAATCAATAGTTAAAATCATTGCAAATCACCTGGTTACCTACATTTAATTAGATTGACCACCAGCCCATTGATTGTGACCCCACTAAATGACCAACATCACATATTTTATGACCCCAATTAAATGGCCACCATTTTAAGGACATGGCAGATAGTGGACATTTATCAGAGTATCTCAAGGAATTTACTGTAGTAACAGAATAGGAATTATACCACTATTGATTTTCCCCTATTAGTCTTTGTTAAATTGACACTTTTCAAAAAATGTGCAGAATTTATCTTTGTTTCAAATAAAGAAATACTTGGCAGGAGTAAAGTTTTGATCCTGTCCAGTACTACTGACAAAATTTCACATAACATTTCATTGCATATAAGATAATAATGATCACCAGAAGTTAACCAATCAAATTTTCACCCCTTCTTTCCTGTTTACAAGCTTTAGTAACCATGTAACCTGAAGTTTTCAAAATATTTTATAGAAACACCAAATATAAAAAGAATGGTGCTTTGAAACACCCAAGATATATGTTAATGATTTAGAAATTTGTTTAAGCAGGGTTAACTTCCTTTTCAATCTTTTTTGTATGAAACCTGATGTAACGTACTATGATTTGGTGGTATTACACCAAAAGTGATGTGTTGCAATTTTGTTCATTTGTCTTATTTGTAGGGATTACTTTGCTGAACATTTATGCACTATAAAGATTCTCTCTATCTATCATAGTTTATAAAAAAAAACTAATATCAAAGTGCTTGTGAACACTGAGGGAAAAGATTGCTTCCATTTTGCAATTTTGTGAATTATTAAATAAAACATTGAATTGTATTTTGCTAGACGAATTGAAAATTTGAGTTGAAGCTTTCTTCCTTTGTTCATGATTGACATTTGTAGTAAACCTATTTTTATAACAGATTCATACACCATGCATTACTTATGTAATTTTAAATAAAAAAATGTTTTCTTGACAAGTATTGTAATTCAAATACACATCATTTTGTAACTTAAGTATCAAACATCAATAAATTGCATGACATTGAATGGGTAGGATCTAAATAATGATCCCTTTACTGCACTATCAAAGGTAGTGATAAACCTTGGAAGATTAGATATCAAGTCAGTACCATAGGGTTTTGATTGCAATTTATGCAATCTTTATCCAAAAATTAGTAAAAATTATCTTTCAAAGGCAATACATTGTAACTCCTAAAAGGGATCAATTGATGATTTCAGTCATGTTGAATTATTTGTAGGTCTTACTTTGCTGAACATTTTGGCCAATTAAGTTCTCTCTATCTATCATAGTTTCTGCAAAAACTAAACAATTTTGGTAAAAATCATGTTTCAAGGGCAATAACTCCTATTAGGGATTAATTGATGATTTTAGTCTTATGTGTAGGTCTTACTTTGCTGAACATTTTTTGCTGTTTAAAATTTTCTCTATCTCTAGTTTCCTCTAAAAAATTCAAAAAATGAAAAGAAATTGTCTTTTAAGGGTAATAAATCCTATAAGAGGCGAGTACACAGTTATCGTCCTTTGATTTTCGTTGTCCACGAATATAGTCCCTAATGTGGACAGTGTGTTGCTTGCCAATTTTTTAAGTACCCCTTCAAAATGTATTTCTTCATGTTTTATCCCTCAAATAGCAAGTAGGGGGTTGAAATTACACTGTAAAAAATTTGGGTCATGAATTTTAAAGTAAAGTAGTGATTTGGTCCAGCTGAAAAAGGTTAAAAATAAGCACTTCGGAAGTTGTGAAAAGATTTCAAGACCCCCTTAACATAGAATTGTCCATATTTTGAGTTAGAGACGATGAAGTTTTCTATAATTTTGATATAATTTGTCCAAAAGTACAACATACTGTAAAAATATTATTGAGAAAGCCCAGGTGGGATTTTTTTTATTTTCATTTATTGTCTAAAAGAAATGCACTACGAAATAACTGTGTACTCGGACCATAAGGGTTTAATTGACAATTTTGGTCATGATGACTTATTTGTAAGTCTTACTTTGATGAATATTTTTATGTGAAAGCTTCTGTATATCTATCATAGTTTCTTAAATTTTTTTTTTAAATTTAATAAAAATACTCAATTAAGCTTTTAAAGGCAATAACTCCTATAAGGGATCAATTGAGAAATTCGGTTTTTAGATTTTTGGTAGATCTTACATTGTTGAACATTTTTGCTGTTTAAAAATTTCTGTTTATCTTTAGTAGTTTTCAAGACAATAACAATAAAATGCTCCGCTGGGGCGCAGCTTGATACGACCGCAGAGGTCGAACCCTGAACAGTTGGGGCAAGTATGGACACAACAATCAAGCTTGATACAGCACTGAATTTGGATTGTAATTAAATATTTGACACAGCATAGGTTTCTCACACAGAATGAAAGTAGTCTAAGAACTTAAAATTTTTTAATTTACCTATTCAAACCATATCATTATTATTTGCTTTTATATATAAATCAGAAATAACCAATTTAAAATGGAAAATTTTAAAGAAAAAAAATGAAAACCCCCCCCCCCCCCCCTCCCAAATTTTTTGAAACCCCCTTATGATTCATCACCCCCAAACTCAATCCCAGCCTTCCCTTTGTGGTATGGTACCTTGCAGTACAATTTCAGAGAGATCCATACACTTGAACACAAATTATTGTCTGGAAACTAGAAAAATGCTTGGGTTTTTTGCACCTTTTTGGCCCCAAATTCCTAAAAGTTTTGGGCAAGTACCCCCAAACTCAAACCAAGCTTTCCCTTTGTGATATGGAACCTTGCAGTACAATGTCATAAAGATCCATACACTTACACACAAGTTATTGTCATGAAACTAGAAAAATGCTTGTTTTTTTGCCCCTTTATGGCCCCTAATTCCTAACATTTTGAGACAATTACCCCCAAAAACAATCCCAGCCTTCCCTTTGTGGTATGGTACCTTGCAGTACAATTTCAGAGAGATCCATACACTTGAACACAAGTTATTGTCTGGAAACTAGAAAAATGCTTATTTTTGGCCCCTTATTCCTAAACGTTTTGGGCAAGTACCCCCAAACTCAATTCCAGCTTTCCCTTTGTGATATGGAACCTTGTAGTACAATTTCATAAATATCCATACACTTACACACAAGTTATTGTCATGAAACTAGAAAAATGCTTGTTTTTTGCCCCCTAATTCCTAAAATTTGGAGGCAATTACCCCCAAAATCAATCCCAGCATTCAAACCCTCAATCAGCATCATTTAACAGTAATATCTAAAAATGGAAATTACATAATAAAGGTATTAAAATAGAAAATGACATCATAGTCATGGCTAAAAATAAACAAAATCCTTAATCAGCAACATTTTACAGTAATATCTAAAAATAAAATTCCTTTGTAACCATAAAAGCCCATTTAAATACATCATGACAGATATTAAAATAGAAAATGACATCATAGTCATGGCTAAACATAGCAAAAACCTTAATCAGCATCATTTAACAGTAATATCTAAAAATAAAAATTTCTTTGCAACCATAAAAGTAAAATAGAAAATGACATCATAATCATAGCTAAAAATAAACAAAAATTTTTTTTATTACCAAATTTTAAATGGAGTTTATTAAACTAAAACAATAAATTTGCAACCATAAAACCCCATTTAAACACATCATAAAAGTATTAAATAATTCAACTACATCATAAGGCTATAAAAATAGAAAATGACTTCATAGTCAAGGCTAAAGGTAAACAAAAAACCTTCATCAGCAAAATTTTATATTGGCAAATTTCCAATGAAGTTTATTATACTAAAATTGTTGGCAAATTTCCAATGCATTTATTAACAATAAAGTTATTGGCAAATTTCCAATTTACATAATTTAAAAGCAGTGTAAGTGAGATATTTAAATGAGTTTGAATTACCAACCTTACACTGCTTTTAAATAATGTTTTGTACTTATTTGTCTATTAACCTGGAAACCCTTGTTTTTTCACCTTTTTTTCCCTTATTATCTAAAGGTTTGAGCCATAACCCTACCCCAAAGCCAATTCTTAAATTCCAATGTAACCTAAATTTACAATATACATAACTTCAATTTAAGTTTTTGATAAAATCAAACCACATCATTATTATTTGCTTTTATATCTAAATCAGAAATAATTAACCAACTTTAAGTGGAAAATTTTCACACATCACGCCCCCCCAAACTCAATCCCAGCCTTCAGTTTGTGGTATGGTACCTTGCAGTACAATTTCACAGAGATCCAATTACTTAAACACAATTAATTGTTAGAAACTAAAAAAAAATGCTTATTTTTAACCCCTTTTTTAGCCCCTTATTCCTAAACATTTGAGCAATTATCCCCCAAACTCAATTCCAACTTTCTCTTTGTGATCAGAATTAACCAACTTAAAATGGAAAATTTTAAAGAAAAAAAAAAGGAAAAAAAATCCCCCCCCCAAAAATTTTTTGACCCCCTTTGTGGTATGGTACCTTTAAGTACAATTTCAGAGAAATCCATACACTTGAACACAAGTTAATGTCTGGAAACTAAAAAAATGCTTATTTTTGCCCCCTTTTTTGGCCACTTATTAATAAATGTTTTGGGCAAACATTTTACAATAATATTTAAAACTGAAATTAATTTGTAACCTTAAAATTAAATAGAAAATGACATCATAGTCATAGCTAAAAATAAACAAACTATTGGTAAATTTCCAATATAAAATTGGCAAATTTCCAATGAAGTTTATTATACTAAAATAATTGGCAAATTTCCAATTTACATAATTCAAACATAGTGCAGGTGAGATATTTAAATGAGTTTGAATTACCAACCTTACACTGCTTTTAAATAATGTTCTTTACTCAATTATTTGTCTATTAAAATGGAAACCCTAGTTTTTTAACCTTTTTTCCCCTTATTACTTAAACGAAAAAAAATAATTACCCCTTTTTTGACCCCCCCCCTATGATTCATCACCCCCCCTTCCCCCCAAAACCAAGATCAATTACAGCCTTGCCTTTGTGGTATGGTACCTTGTAATACAATTTTAGAGAGATCCATACACTTGAACACAAGTTATTGTCTAGAAACTAAAAAATGCTTATTTTTCACCCCTTTTTAGGCCCCTTATTACTAAACGTTTTGGGCAATTACCACAAAACTCAATTCCAGCTTTCCCTTTGCGAAATGGAACCTTGTAGTAAAATTTCAGAAAGATCCATACACTTACACACAAGTTATTGTCACGAAACTAGAAAAATGCTTGTTTTTTGCCCCCTTTTGGCCCCTTATTCCTAAAATTTCGAGGAAATTAACCCCAAAATCAATCCCATCATCGACCCTTTGTGATATGGAATCTTGTAGTACAATGTCAAAGAGATCCATACAATAACACACAAGTTATGTCTGGAAGTTACAAAAATGCTTATTTTCGGCCCCTTTTTGGCCCCTAATTATTTAACTGTTGGTACCATAACCCCCAAAATCAATCCCCACCTTCCTATTGTGGTATTGAACCTTATGGTAAAATTTCATAGAGATCCATTCACTTAAACTAAAGTTAGAGTGCGAAAACCATTGTGTATTCGGACGACGACGACGACGCCAACGTCATACCAATATACGACCACAAAATTTTTTTGCGGTCGTATAAAAACTAAGCTATTTCATAAAAATAATTATTTATGGGTCAATAACTCCAAATTGGGTTATCTGTTTCGTCTGCAAATTTTCAAGCAAATAGATCTTGACCCGCTGGTCATGTTACCCTGTCTGTTTTGCTCAAACTACTTTATTTTTTCAGATATAAGCAAAAAATGCATATTATCCATATGTTCTATTTTAATCCATGGCGGTCATTTTTGCAGGCAGACTGGAATAAAAAACACAAACTTTATACTAGATGCAACAAAGGATCCGGATCATGCACACAAAGTTTTGTTATTTCAGAAGGAGAAGATCTGTATAAAAAGTTTACGAGGACGATAGCTCAAATGGCCCTATGGTCCAGGTGAGCTAAAAAAAAGATTTCATTTATATACAATTTCTTTTCTATGGGATCAAGTAATTTTATCTTCACAACTCATTTTTTTCATATCGGTATCAGACTCAGATGTGTAAATGACACAATCAATCAACTGTGTAAGATCTAAAAATAGAGATGTGTATTGGCCAATCAAAAAATATTGATCGTTGTAATTAGCATATGAAAAAATTGTGAAAATTTTTCACCTACTGTAAATTCAGAAATTATTGCGTGCATTTATTATTGCGATTTTTCAAGAATGGACAAAAATGCGATGTTTTATTATTGCGATTTCGAAAAAAGTGCATACAGGTCTATATTTCAGTATCAGAATGCGAGTTCTTATTATTGCGATACTCACCCAGTCGCATCATTCGCATTAATAAAAACCTTGCAATAATTTCTGAATTTACAGTATTTGTGATGAAAATTTATTCGCATTGAAACATTTTAAATATTGATTTTTTTAGATTAACTTAAATCTCAATGTCAAACCTATGTAGTCAGACAGAAAAGGTTTATACCTTATTAACGTGGAAAGAAATATGGGAGCTGTGCATGCAGGATCATCTTATATATCATTTAAAAAGGGACACTAGATGATAAACAAGATTGTGAATGTCTAACACATGATGTGTTGCCAATTAACAATCCATTGAGATTCAGAAGACGTGTATACACCTGTTGTTTTTTGTTTACAAAATATATCAATAATAAATATATACACAGCAGATAATATTTTCCCGTAACAGGAAGCATAGCAGTGCTGATCAAATCATGGCGGCAAAAATTTAAGCGTAGCGGGATAGCTCTTCTAAAGTATATATATACAAGAACAATTTGTTGTTTTTGATTTTAAATCAATGTCCTGGCAGTAGATAGTTTTTGATTGACACAATTTGAACAAGAGTGATTTCCCTTTTGCCACCATGTTGGAGGTCTATGTGCACAAATTCCTTCATAAATCAGCTAAATTCAACATGTTATACTGTCTGCCAGACTCTAGAAATAGTTGTTTTCTGAACAATTTTAATTTAATTTAGTCTTGCTAGATTCATCACTACGATCTAGTAGGGATCTCTTATCAGACTTGGTTGTACCACATGTTTCAATTGTGGTTAGTCAAATATGAAAATTAATCATTCACCCCTCCAAAATGTGGGTTCGTGGCCAAGTTGTTAAGACTGATTGCTACAGTGCTGAAGGTCCTGGTCTCTGGTACCCAGACAGGAGTTTAAACAAGAATGGGTACTTTGGAGGCCTCCCTTGGTCAAAGTGGTCCCCGTCTTTGACCAGGAGATCAATCTTCAGATATCTCTTCGGTTTGTCTGTTCCCGTCGAGTTGCCCAGTGGTTTTCTCAGAGTACTTCGACTTCCTCCACCGTAATATAAACAGTCTTCCCTGTGTCCTAACACTCCCTTGGTGGTGGGTTTTACATAAGTTAGTCCATTAATCCTGATAGGGAGTGTACACAGATACCACTGTACTCTCAAAGCTATAGAGGGGAGTTCTGAATAACGGAGGTATATGATATCTACCAGTACATACAATGGTGGCGAGGGAAATAAGTCAAGTTACATCATTTGGAAACCTATATCATGATTGCCATACATGATGGAAAAATACAAATAACTTTTTAGTTCATAAAGGATTTACTTCAAATTTGGAATACATGGAGATTTATCCTTTATTTAATGAAAATACAAACGAAAATCTAATAACAAATTACCAAACTTGGTCAAATATGCAATGTCAGGGGTCAAAAAATGGATGTAATCATAATTTGCTATGCTATGATAATCATTGTAAAATTGTTGTATTTTGTGTGTATGCCCCTTGAGGGTCCATGATTGGATAACAAAATCTTGAATCTTGAATTATACTCTTAACTTATCCTATGAAAAAATACATACACTATCAAGGAAGTTATGACATTATTTGGTTTAAATGTGTGACTGATGGGTTCAATTCGTAGTTGCACAACAAACTAAGTTATAATTTATGTCTGTGCTGCATAAAAAAAATCGTTTTTGTTAAAAAGCTTATTGCTATATATATATAAATGAAACAGACGACAGAAAATAAATATTCAACCAGAAAAAAACTTAGACAATATATATAAAATCTTTATATGTACAATCTTTCTAACAAGACCTTTATATAATTTCCTTTTGTGGTGGATTCCTGCATAATGTCGACAATCAGCGTGGTCTGCAATTTCTAATGATCCAAATATTAACCTTTTGAGATATCTCTAACGCACAAACTTGATCTCGGTGACGTAAACGTAGACAAAACGGGAATAAAATTGTGGGTAGCTATGCATTCATAGAAGGTTGACTCTGGGACTATATATATCATACTAACTTAGTTTAATAGTCCCAGGTTGACTCTGATAATAAGACTTACATCCTTGAATACACCAGAGACATATATAACATGTGTACACTAAAGAGTTTAGCATACAAAAGACTTTAACAAATGTTTTATATTCTTGTGAAGAAGTTCCAATAGGAATGATATAAATCAGTTGATTGTTTTCTTAATGCTTCGAGAAAGGTACGTGACTTGTCTACAATGTAGTTTAAAATGATAACAAAGGAACTGAAGGTGGTCAGTGGCCGAAATGTCTTAAAATTTGTTTATATACTACAACAAAGTACATATATATCACGGTACATTTCCTTTACTGTGATTGAAGGGCTCCTTTGCAAGGAGCATTAATATTGTTCAACGTGTAAAAACCAAACGAATCACAAGGGTCACTAAACTGAATAAGAAAACTAGATCTAATAGAGCCAGATGTTCAGCTGCTCATTGGAGCATCAAGAAAATCAGCGGTTACCATCATCTGTGGCACCAACTGGTAAGAATGAGTCTTGTTTATATATCCCAACATAAACCAAACACAAAGATTTTTTCTCTTTCTAAAATGCATAAGGAAATGAAACGGCCAGGAGTACCACCTTTAAAATATCAAGGCCGGATTAAAATCTAATGACACAGTTGATAAAGCAAACACATTGAACCATCAGTTCCAATCGGTGTGCAATGCACCGAAGACAATAAAAATGAAATTCAAGATATGGAAAATGAAAACTTCAACACAATGACTGATATAAATATCAATATCACTGTAGCTGCAGGCGCGTAGCAACCCGTACGCAAAAACGCAGTTGTTCTGTCCAATCGTCAAGAATAAAGGACCAAACTATCAACCAGCAAATTACGGCTGGCTCTCACCGTGCGGGACTCAACTTACAGGCCTCATGTACAATGGACAGTAAAATGCAAACTGACATGATAGTTTTAGACTTTGTAAAAAGCATTTGATAAAGTATGTCATCCACGTCTGCTACAATGACAGGGAAAACTCACAAATGGATCTCAGACTTTTTATACAACAGGATACAGGCAATTGCATTAGAAAACAAACATGGATAAAGTAGGCGTTACATCTGGAGTACCTCAAGGTAGTGTACATATTTATTCTAAAACCAGTTGTTGGCATGACACGGGTTGTGTTCTTCTCATATATTTTATGACGGTATAATACTAAACCCCTAACAGGAGGGATTGTGCCTGATATTCATATGATGAAGACATCATGAATCTTTCAATCAGTTTAATTGAGGTCTGGAGCTGGCATGTCAGTAACTGCTAGTAGTCTGTTGTTATTTATGTATTATTGTCATTTTGTTTATTTTCTTTTGTTTCCTATTCTGACATCGGACTCGGACTTCTCTTAAACTGAGTTTTACTGTGCATACTGTTGTACGTTTGTTTTTTCTACATTGGCTAGAGGTATAGGGGGAGGGTTGAGATCTCAAAAAACATGTTTAACCCCGCCGCATTTTTGCGCCTGTCCCAAGTCAGGAGCCTCTGGCCTTTGTTAGTCTTGTATCATTTTTAATTTTAGTTTTTTGTGTATAAATTGGAGTTTAGTATGACGTCCATTATCACTGAACTAGTATACATATTTGTTTAGGGGCCAGCTGAAGGACGCCTCCTGGTGCGGGAGTTTCTCGCTGCATTGAAGACCCATTGGTGGCCTTCGGCTGTTGTCTGCTCTATGGTCGAGTTGTTGTCTCTTTGACACATTCCCCATTTCCATTCTCAATTTTATTAGTCTTGTCCCTTTTCTAATCGCCATCAACAAAATCACTGATTAGTCGGTTAAAGAGCTCATCAGAGCTCATGTTTTCTATGTTATTGTGTACATATATGCCGACCTTGAATAAAATTAACTTACTTACTTACTTGCATGCAACCAACAATCCGCCTGCTCGCAGCTTCAGCTGACCCCCAAACAAAAATATATAGTAGTTCAGCGAAAATGGACGTCACACTAAACTCCGAAACATATAAATGAACCAAAAATTTAAGAAAACAAAACAAAAAAAACAAAGACTATAAAAGGCCAGAGGTTCCTGACTTGGGACAGGCGCAAAAAATGCGGCGGGGTTAAACATGTTTTGTGAGATCTCAACCCTCCCCTTATACCTCTAGCCAATGTGGAATAATCAAACACACAGCAATACGCACAGTAAAACTCAGTTCAAAAGAAGTCCGAGTCCGATGTTAGAAAAGGTAACAGAAGAAACTAAGCAAAATGACAATGATCAACATAAATTAACAAAGGACTACTAGCAGTTATACTGACATGCCAGCTCCCGAGGCCTCGAGACCTCAATTAAACTGATTGAAAGATTATGTCTTCATCAAATGAAATGGGTTTAGTGTCATACCATCATAAAATATACGAGAAGAACATAACCCGTGTCATGCCCGTCAACTGGTTTTAGAATAAATGTGTTTATTTCCGATGCAAAGACCCTATGAGTGAATCAATATTAATTCCAAAAATGCCATCTTTAATAACCTGACATTCACAACAGTATCGTAACTATATCCCTTCTGAATAAGTCTGTTTAAAGGTTTGGTATAGCTTTTGATGTGAATAGCGACATTTTTGTGCTTTGTATAGAATATTACCATAAAAGTTGGGACGTGAAATACCTGAACGTATAAGATGTCTGCACGTTGATTTATATTTACGAATGGTGTCCTTATACCGATGATAACATTTAGTAAATGTTTTGACAAGTTTGTGATATCGAAAACCCTGGTGTAATAATTTTTCAGTAATACAGAAATCAAATACACTGTTACATACACGAGCGAATCGAACAAGTTGAGATATATAAACACCATGCATAAGATGGTGTCAAGGGAACGTCACCATCTAAAAAAGGATAATTAACAATAGGAAGCGAAAAACTTCGGGAGTCATTTCTTTTATTGTAAATTTTATTATTAAGCTTCCCGTTAAAGATATAGAAATCAAGATCTAGGAAAGGACAGTGTTCGTTGTTAGTATTAGCTTTATTAAAAGTCAGTTCAGCAGGATAAATCTCTTTAGTGTACATACTGAAGTCGTCAATATTGATAGCTAATATACCATCCAAATATCTAAAAGTGTTATTAAATTTTTGTATCAGATGTTGTTTCGATTGGTCTTTGGTGATTTAAGTCATAAATTGTAATTCGCAACAATATAGGACAGGTCCGCAATAAGTGGTGCACAGTTAGTCCCCATCGGAATTCCGATAATTTGACGATATACGGAATCTCCATAGCGAACAAAAATGTTATCTAGTAAAAAATCAAGTGCAGCTATCGTATGAAAGCAGGTCCAATTGACAATACATTTATTATTTTAATACATTTATTATTTTATTACTATTCAAGTATAGTTAGAAGTGGCAGGTGGGTTTGTTCCAGCGGCTTGTATGTATTATGTAACTGGGTTACTGTACTTAATATATTCCATTCAGCTGGTTTTTATTGCTGGTTTTGATTGAATGGTTTGAATTTGATTTTTGTTCCCCCAATTGTTCATTGTAATTATTGAAATCATTGTAACGTTAGTATAAATTTATTATAAATGCAATTATTCAGCTCAGTTTTACAGGGGCGCAGGTGTTATGCATTCAAGAACACTGGCTCTTCAATGCGGAAAAGAAAATCATAGCCGAAGTTGCTGAAAATAGCGGATACATAGCTAAAAGCGTTGACGATAATGACGACCCTGATTTCAACGTATCAATGAAAAGAGGATATGGTGGAGTAGCCATAATCTGGAAAAAAGAATTAAATGAAAATATAAAGGAACTGATAGACGGTGGAAATAGAATACAAGCCATACATATTCAACAAGGAGACAAACCAATATGTCTTATAAATGTATATATGCCATCAGATAACAAAAATGCAGATATCGAATACAAAGACACTTTGGCTCAAATTGATGAAATGATAGAGAAATATAAAGATACACACGAAATTATAGTATGTGGAGACATGAACGGGTCACTCCATAGAAGCTCTACACCTCATGATAAAATTCTACAAACTTTCTGCAAGGAAAAATGTATAGGAAATACTGAGAAATGCCCATTAAAAGAAACATTTTATCACCAGAATGGTAAATCGAAAGGACAAATTGATTACTTCCTCTTCAAAAGTGACTCGGAAATAATAAATAAAATCAGACAAATTGATGTCCTTGACACTGACCCAGAGAATACCTCGGACCATGTACCTGTTATCCTGACACTGAATGGCCAACTGAAAAAAGTAAGGGAAAAAGCAACAACTGTCATAGCAAAACCTAAATGGACTGACTGTGACCATCAAATTTATAAGAAAATCATCAATAAAGATCTACCAAACCTCATGCAAAAATCAAAAGGAATCATTGAGCAAGATATAAGAAATCTAGAAAAATTGCTACATAAAGCCGGAGAAGCGGCAATCCCAAAGTATAGAAGAAAAATCAAAATCAAATCAAAGGGAAAGGCGATATGGAATGAACAAATAGAAAAGGCATCAAAGCAATTAAAAAATGCATATAAAGTATGGAGGCAACATGGAGCACCTCAAGAAAGAAGTAACGAGCTCAAAATCAAAATGACAGCTGCAAAAAGAATACTTCGAAAAGCACAAAGACAAGCTTATGCCTCTCAGAGAGAATCAACAGCGGGAAAAATTATGAAAGCTTCAAATGCAGACACAAAACTTTTTTACAAGCTTATTAACATGCAAAGAAAAACACCACTTACTAACACCAAGATACTGAAACTGAATGAAAAGACTGCAGAAGATGGACCAAGCATAATGAACATTTGGCAAGAACATTTCCAACAACTAGCTACGCCAACATTAGAAGAAAATTTTAACACTGAAAAGCCTGAGCTTGTAGAAATACAAAACAATATAATAGAATCCATAGAAAGGGAAAAAGGTCAAGGCATTGATCATGTCAATGTAAAGGAGGTTGATAAAGCTATAGAAAAACTTAAAGCAGGAAAAGCACCAGATGAGGATGGAATTTCGGCAGAACACTACAAATATGGGATGGATGAGTTAACTCCCTTTATAGTACATTTGCTAAATTCAATTTTAACATATCTTGATGTACCAATCTTCCTAAAGACAGGGATTCTTACACCAATCCTAAAGAAAGAAAAAGACAAAACATTACCATCTAGCTATAGAGGAATAACTGTGACTAAAACCTTTGCAAAAATATAACAAAGTATACTGAAGGATAGAGTTGACTCTGTATTTAATAACATACAAAACCCCTTGCAAAGAGGCTTTACAGAAGGAGTATCATCACTATGCGCAGCTTTCCTCACATCAGAAGCAATCGAAGAAAGTAAGAAATTAAAGATACTGATGATTTTAATAACTCTTGATGCAGAAAAAGCATTTGACAAACTAAACCATGAAATACTATTCAACAAGTTGTACCATTATGGAATAAAAGGAATACTCTGGATACTACTGAGAAACATGTATAAAGGCATGAGCATTAAGGTCAAATGGGAAGGTCAATGTACAGAAGATGTAATGGTGTTACAAGGAATTCAACAAGGTGCAAAACTATCTACAACGCTATATAAATGCTACAACAACGTCATACTGGATAGCATTTTAAAAAGTGGACTTGGAGCATGTATTGGTAATATACAAGTCCCTGCACCCACATGTGCCGATGACATTGCTGTCCTGGCAAATGATACTGCAGACGCACAAGGAATATTAGACATAGTACAGCACCATACAAGCAGAGATCTAGTTAAAATCAATCCAACTAAATCTGAAGCGGTTTTATATAATGCAAAAGGCTCAAACATAACAACACTGCAATTCGAAGACGATGACATCAATATAACCAATGAAACCAAACATCTAGGTATCAAAAGAAACGAGCAAAACCGGGCAAATATCTCTGAAAGAATAAGAACCGGCAGGGCAACAATATACAGCCTTCTCGGAGCCGGTTTACATGTCAGAAGGGGATTCTCACCCATGGTCGCATACAAGCTATGGAGAACATATGCAGTACCAAGAAGCATCTACGGACTTGAGGTGATGAACTTACTTGCAAAAGAAAAGGATATGCTAGAACTGGCAGAGAGAAAAATCCTCCGACAAATTCAAGGGCTTCCAAATAATACAGCAAATATGGCTGTCTATACCCTGGTAGGAGCAGAACCTATTGCCATCACATTAGACAAAAATCTACTTACCTTCTTCATGAATATTGTTCGAAATTCAGGAACCATAGAATGTGAAATTCTGCGTCGACAAATAGCATTCTCAGACCAAAGAGGAAAAGACTTTATCAACAGAGTGGAAAAAACTCTATCAAAATACAATTTGAAATCTAGTAGTTACTACATAGAAAAACCACTTAAGAAAATCGAATGGAAAAGGTTAGTAGGAATAAAGATCAAGGAATACTGGAAAAATGAATGTCACTATGAAAAAATGGAAAAAACATCACTTAAATACATAGAGATACAGAACAATCCATTAAATGAAGCACACAATATATGGAAAAGCGTAAAAAACAATAATAAAGATGTAAAGGCAGGAGAAATAAAAGCAAGAATAAGTACTCAAACGTACATATTACAAGCCAAAAGAGCTAAGTTCGATCCGAAAGTTAACCCGATATGTACAATCTGTGAACAGGAAAATGAAGATCTGGAACATTTTATTCTACGCAGCAAAGAATTGGAGCAAATAAGATCTAAATATTGCTCAAAAATAGAACAGACAATGGATGAAATCGATACCTCAACATACAAGAAGATCATACAAGAAGGGAATTTACTGCAGCTCATAATGGACTGTACTAGCAAGGACATAAACTGTTACTCAACTGTGTATGAAAGCATTGAAACTCTGGCTAGAAATATGTGCTACGAGATGCACATGCTGCGCACAAAAAGGATTAAAAACTTGAACACAAGTACAGTATAAATAAACTTTTTTAAAATAAAATAGTTCCCAACTTTTCCATCTTACTATTTTATGACGTATTAGGACCTAAATTAAATAAAAAAAATTTGAGAAGTTTTAAGATATCAAATTACCTTAAACGAATAATGATAAGATCCGAAATAAGGTAACTTTAAACTGTGAAGGTAAACTTATGTATATATGATGAATTGTTCTAAACCACAACCCTTTTACATAAGTCCTATAAAATAACCTTCTCATTATAAATTCTGATGTACGTATAGCACCTTTAACTAACAATTATAAGAAAATTTTAATTTAAGACCACTTAAATTCTAAATGTTTAATTGTAAATATATCCAGTTCTTACTTAACTTATTCTTACACTTCAGGACATTATGAATATTATTTTTAAAATTTCATGATGACAATCCTATGAATTAGTTATAATATTAATTTTTAGTAATTATTATTGCCTAAATTCAGTCATCTGTACATAATTAAATGCTTCCTTATGTTCTAAGGTGTATATAGTTGCTACAATTATACCCTATGGGTAGTGCTCCACAATTAATGGAGGAATATACAAGAAACTGAACTGATTTGCAAAAAAAAAAACACTATTTAATTCTATTATATTATAAAGATTAACCAGAGACATTTATACGAGGTTTAGTTGTCTCTGTTTCTGATTAAACGTACAAAATAAAAAGAAATTTTGATTATCTCACTCGGGTTTTTCAATTCAGAATTTGAAAAAATAGAAAAAAAATAAATATAAATACCAGAGACATATAAATACTGAGACTACTATATATAAGTTACAATAGTCTAAGAACAATAGCCAAAAGGATTTTGATTTAGAACCCATCAGAAGCATTCACAACATTTGGTCTATAGTTTTATGCTATCTCTACTCTTCTATAACATGCATCATAAAGTACAGAACTGAAACGTGTATGGAGTCGGATGCTGTTTAGGTGTTTATAATTTCTTCAAGCGCGCCATCTATTGACAAAAAGAAGAATGAGCGCCATTGGATTGAAGAAAATATTCCCAGACACGTAATAAAAAGTTTTGAAATGGACGAAGAAGAACGAAATAAAAAGCTTCGAGCTGGAAAGGAAAAGGTTATTTCACTTTAAAAGATGCCAGTTAATAAAAGAACTGGAAAGCTTTGAATTATAGGGCTTGTTCGTATGTTTGTTAGATTAATAAAAAAAGGGGGGATGTACTTCTTATGTTCCCCAAAGATACTCTTTGGTCTAGAAGTTTACACAACAACTAGTTAAATGGATGTTCTGAAGAAAATCATAGGAATCTTTAAAACAAGTACAATCTTACCTCTATGAACCGCAGCAGAAGCCATACATATACAATGTATCAACTCAGTAATACACCTTATCGCTATTTGTCCGCCATTACTCGACATCACACAGGTTCCCGTAAAATTTTGACGTCATAATACAAAATATCTGACGCCACAATAAAAAAGTGATTGTTGTATGACGTCAATAGTTCAAGTGGGACAGATTCTCGGGTCAGCCGGGAATAGCGATAAGGTGTATACTCTTGGTGCTATAATTTCTATAAAGCCATTTACCAGTTCCTTTTAGTGACTGAGTTACACTGGTTGACAAATAGTCAATCATAAAAAGTGTAAATTACAGCATGGAATAATCTAGCTAGTTGTGACGTAATAACATAAACATTGTGACATTGGAATGGAAATGTGCGGGAAAATGCATGAATTTGATATACAAGTAGTGATGGGCAATCAGATTGAAAAATAATCGATTATCGGAAATAATCGAAGATGCATAATCGATTATTAATTGATTATAATCAGAATGTATTTCTTAATTTATTTTGTACATGAGGCATCATCTATTTGTTCCCGTCTCTCTGGGTTGATTTTTCTAGTAGTTGTTACAATGTACATTAAGAAATGTATTCATTGTATTCTGTTGTTTAGGTTTACCCCCAGGTTTACAATCATAACCATGTTCATGTTCTTTGTGATGCAGAATGTTGGTGGTATTTCCTGAAATAAAAATTAGAAAGTTAGAAAATTCATTATCAGGATATTTCCAAATTTTTCCAGGTCAAGATATTTATTTACAAAATTTGCACATAAATATATATACTAACTAGTACAATACTATTTTTTCGGTTTCAGACAGTTATTTTCATTACCTGACATTACACACTGAACTAATCATTTAAAACATAACAACAATGTGTACCAACCTTTGTTTGTGTATTTCTTGTTGCAAATCCTGCAAACTGCAAAAGACATATCCAATGTCTGTTTCGTTGCTGGTCCATCTTTGGATTTGTAGAATCCAAAGTACTCCCGACTTTGGATTTGGTTTTACCAGGGTATGATTAAATGGTTCGTTGAACCTGATTGTTGTTTTGGTCATCTTCCGCCATTCGTGACCTGAGCTTGTGGTTTCTAATTGATAAGTCATACTGGAAACGGAACTGTTATCGAAAACCGAAAAAAAATTTCAGCGATGTCTCTGATTTTCGATTTTTATTTTTGTCATCGATTAGTAGCATCGCTGCCCTTTAAACAACCGTTAATCGACCGTCGTTTCATCACTATATACAAGCACCAGTTACCATTAGGCTACTCACTACAATCAGAGAAAAACGAAACTATTAAGATCTAATAGAGCATCAAATAACTCTCCCCTTTTGAGGTTCTCATAGTTTGGCGCCAACTCACATGGTCAGGGTGTAATACACACACATTATCAACATTTACACACCCTTTAGACGAATGAACACTTGTCGACCTTTAGTAATAATCACACAAGTTCAATCAAAATATTGCATCCCAATTTAAAAAAATTTGATATCCTAATTAAAAAGTGATTGTTGCATGACGTCAGAAGGTTATTCAGAGACAGATCTAGGCTTATTAGGAGACAAAAGTTTAGCTAAATACCCAAAATATGTCTATTCTAATCACATGGCATATACACATATTCAAGTTCATTACATGTGATCACACACATTCTTGTATGATATATAATGTACAGATTTTCTGTAAGTTACATTTTGTAGTTATTTACTTTCTGTTCAGAATCATCAGGTTTTTTCCCATCAATCATTATTTTGTCAAGGTCAAATGGTTTCCTCTACAAGGTATAAATTTACATTTTTGTCGAGCCTTCGACTTTAGTCGAAAAAGCGAGACATAGTGATCCTACATTCCGTCGGCGTCGTCGTCGTCGGCGGTGGCGGCGGCGTCCACAAATATTCACTCTGTGGTTAAAGTTTTTGAAATTTTACAGCAGATTCCAACGAGTGTGTAGCTAAAGGTAGAATCTTTGGTTAGCTTCCTTGCTAGCTCAACCATGAAATGATTATTACCTTAAAATTGGGAGGAGCACAGCGCTATATTATCATCCAATGAAAACATTTATATCAATGGCCTGTTTATTATTTATAATATATGTATGTTTCATACAAAGGTTTACTGAGACTACTTTGGAAATGAAATTTCATTTCTTACTCTTTAATTGAATTAAAAAATCTTTTTATTACAAATAATCAGAGGCGGATTCTCGTTGATTTTTTTTAAATATTTACGCCGGGAATAGGCAGTCTAGTAAATTAATGTCTTTTGGTGTATTCCCCACGCATGAAACATTGTTATGTATTTTCTTTATATATGCATATTTTTTAGAACTAAAATCTTTTATATTCACACAGAAAAGACAAATTATCATACTACTTAATATCATGCACGGTTGTAGTACTTATATTTAGTTAAAATTGCAACGAAAAAAACCCAGCAAACAACTGCAGTTTAGAATTGAAAATATTCCAGAATTTATGGACATCCACTTGGTTTGTTAACTACTTATTAGTTTTAGATAAATAATGCATCCATGAAGACCAATTTTTATGTCTCTACTTCAGTTCGATTTAATCTGACCTAGATTAAATGATCAGGTCATATGTACTTTTGAACACCTTCCAATCTTTTTTACCTGTCCGGGTGTATTGTAAACATATGTGTATGTGTAAAAGTGAATACGGTCAGCACTTGTCAATCATATCCAACTACATTTTATTAACTTGATGTAACAAATTTAACAGACAGGTAAAATATATTATTATTTGTAATGTCTGACGAAGAAGAAAACATTTTAGGAATTTCAGCTTTCATTTAACTTTTAACCATTTATCAAAATAAAATTGGCAAATCAAACACACCTACAACATGCTTGTGAATGATCTTAATAATTATCATTAAATTTTAAATTTAGATTGAAAACTTATTTTTAAACTGACTTGTAAAACTAGTTTTACAATGTTTATATTCTGTCACTTAATTCTGATTGGTTCTCTGCTTAACTATTGACTCCACCCAAAGGCTGGATGTACCTTACCTAATAATGATTTCATGGTTGAGCTAGCAAGGAAGCTAACCAAAGATTCTACCATTAGCTACACACTCGTTGGAATCGGCTGTAATAACTTTCTTAAACTATCCTTGATTTCTACCAAACTTGGACAGAAGCTTGTTTATGATCATAAGATAGTATCCAGAAGTAAATTTTGTAAAAATAAAATTCCATTTTTTCCGTATTTTACTTATAAATGGACTTAGATTTTCTGCCAGGAAACAGTATATTCACTCTGTGGTTAAAGTTTTTAAAATTTTAATAACTTTCTTATACTATTTTGGATTTGTACCAAACTTGGTCAGAAGCTTGTTTATGATCAAATGCTAGTATCTAGAAGAAAATTTTGTTTTCTTCCAGTTAACATTACATTCAGTCTGCAGTTAAAGTTTTTAAACATTTATTAGATTCATAAACTATCCTGGATTTTTACCAAACTTGGACAGAAGCTTCTTACAATCAAAAGATAGTATTAAGAGGAATATTTTTATTAATTTACTTCCTCATTTTTGTTGAGCCTGCGATTAACAGAAAAAGTAGGCGAAACACTGGGTTCCGCGGAACCCTTACGAATTTTTCATATTGGAAAATGCCATTGTTTGGACGAGGTTGTTTTCTAAACTGCTAGCTTCGTCTAAAGAGTTGTAATTTGCCTATCAATATGTTTGAGAATCAAAGTTAAGCGTGAATAAAAGAAAGTGATCAAGGCCCTAATAACTTGTTTGCTTTGCAACCTTGTATCTTGTCTATATTTACTTAAACTTTGATTTTGTCAAAATTGATAAGATTAGACATTTGAAACTCATGATAACTTGAAACTTGTTGTTTACAATCAGTTAAACCCAATTTCACACTGTTAGTAGTGATAACTCTTGCAAAAAAAATTATTCAACTAAACAGGATGAGTTTAAAAATAGAAATAAATGTTCAGTATCATATGCCAAATATCTAATCAACATTTTGTGAAACAACAATACAGTGCAAGAAAAAAAGGCAGAAGAAAAAAGACTATCAGCTCAAATCCTTAAGGGTTTTCCATGGTAAGGTGTAAAGATTTAGTTAGATGTACAAGCAGGATTTTAAAGATGACATTAATCATTGATATTTGAAATAATCTCAAAATTAAACATCAAAAGAATATTATAATGTCTTATTTCAGTTGGCAGCATTTCAGAAAAAGAAGAGTAAAAAGAAACACAGTCATCATCACCATGGAGATGAAACAGTAGCAGCGGGAGATTCATCCATCAGCTCCATTGATCAGTCAAGTTCGAGTGATGTCCCCTTGTTTGAAGATGTAAGTAGCTGTGCAGATGTTGTTTTTCTTTATCTCTATCTGATAACATGTATACAGATATGTAAAATTCAATCTGTTAAGGATCATACAATATATGTAGACTATGAAGTTTCTATTTACCATGTTTACATTCTAAGGAAGTTGGAAAAGATTTTGTAGTTTCAATATAGATATAATTTCTTTAAAAATTTTGTTTATACGAAAAGAATTTTGCTAAAACAGGTCTTGAACCCTCGGAAAAAAAAGAACAAAAAACTGCATTAATGAAGTTGGACATCTAGTACATGTAATATGAACAATTTTTCATCAATAAAAAGTTCTTCTCTATTTTTTTTCTCAATGTTAATTTACCTATAACTTGAAGTTAACCATTTATCAAGTTTAAGACTGGATTGTCACCTGTTACATGTATGTAATTTTGAATTTTAAATGGATGAAACTTTCATAATGTCTATGCAATCAAGACTTGTCTACTCTTATCATGCTTATAATAAAAGTGTTATTATTAAAATTTTTAATTGTGCACTTTAATGATCTTGATAAGTTTCAAATCTCTTTATTTATTATTTATTTAATGTCAAATGTTTTATTTCATATAACCATGTTAGCAAAAATGAAAAAAATTACGGCTTCTATCTTTTTTAAGTTCCCTACCGACGCAGTCGAAGGGGACTTTAGGTTTGCACTCCATCTGTCTGTCTATCTGTTTGTCCATCTGTCAGTCCGGCAAATAAGTTTTCCACACTTTTTTTCTTCGTGCTTGTTTTTTATAGTTGTGTCAGTATGATATATGCATGTCTTCCAAAAAGCACTGCTTAATTTTATTTGTTTTGCAAAAAAGATGCTACAAAATTTGTTATTAGCCTAAAGCTTGTGATATTTTCCTGTGTTCCAATTAATTTTAAGATGACCAGTCCAGTAATGTTCATATTAGTTTTGTTAGTGTCTGACCAGTTATCATTATTTTTTCTGTAATGAACTGGTTTTATATGACATTATAGAGTTTTATTGTAAACACAATCTAATTAAAATTAAATCTCCGCACTTGCTCCTCGTTGTTTATATGTCGCGCGTGGGAGATCTAACAACAGCCGCTTGAGGGTCATGTCTAGGGTCAAATTTGCTGTAGCCAATCAGTGAAAGTGCTACAAAGTGTTAGGGTATTGGACTGGCATAGGAGTCTTAGTAGCGTCTAGAGGTCTTCCGAATGTATATAAACAAAAATGGCAGCCCCCATGCGAAAAACGTTTCGTAACATACAACTGTAATAATAGTTTGTATTATTGCCTTCCGAGGTTAAAATGACATCAAGTGAAGTATGCACCCCAAGGAAAATATCAGTATGAACAAACATTTGTGTTTTATGCGGTTTTTCTTTCATCCAGATAGAAATCTCCTCAACGGGAGAATGTGTTGAAAAAAAACTGTTCAAACTGAAACTTCAGCAGAACTCAGAGAGAATTGCAATAATTTCTAGTGTTGTTACTGGTTTTGAAGTAAACGCCGTAGTAGACAATGACAATGGCGTCTGTATTAAATGTTTTAGAAAAGTCCAACAGTCAATCAAATTTAAGAAAGATGCATTAAAAATTCAAGAAGAACTAAGTGACTAACTTCGGGTGTCTTACCACCTGACCAATCAGAAAGATTAATTGCTAATAGATTTGTTAATCTGCAAGGTGGAACAAACAATAATATAAGCTTAGATGAATACTTGAGAGATGTTGAACAAGGATACAAAAGTAACATGTTCAGGACATCAGACAAAGGAAAGTATCCTTCAACACTCTAAAGAGTATCCTCACCTAGTTAATTTTGCAAGCCATTTTGATAACATTACCAATTTAACAGGAAAGAAGGGGTTCCACCATATACGGTCATACCAAGCTGATGTTCAGAAAATTGCAAAAGACCTACTACAAGAAAATGTACTACATGTAACATATAAAACTTCAAGAATAATAACAATTCAGTGCAAGGAGCTAAAAAAAGACAAAAACCCATTTGACAGTGCATTTATAGGACTTCGTACATTGATTCATCGCCGTGACATCAACCAACAGTCCCCTTCCATCGCCTTCAAATCCACATATTTAAAAAATATTGCTTGGAATTAAATTATTGTGAATAAAGTGTGCAGGTTTAATTTTCTCTTAAGTCATAACCTTAATTAGCTGGTACTTTTTTATACGACCGCAAAAATTAAAAATTTTTTGGTCGTATATTGGTATGACGTTGGCGTCGTCGTTGTCGTCGTCGTCGTCGTCCGGCGTCGTCCGAAGACACATTGGTTTTCGCACTCTAACTTTAGTTTAAGTGAATGGATCTCCATGAAATTTTACCATAAGGTTCAATACCACGAAAGGAAGGTGGGGATTGATTTTGGGGGTTATGGTACCAACAGTTAAGGAATTAGGGGCCAAAAAGGGGCCAAAAATAAGCATTTTTGTAACTTCCAGACAATAACTTGTGTGTAAGTGTATGGATCTCTCTGACATTGTACCACAAGGTTCCATATCACAAAGGGAAGGCTGTAATTGATTTTGGGGGTAATTGCCTCAAAATTTTAGGAATTAGGGGCCAAAAAAGGGGCAAAAAACAAGCATTTTTCTAGTTTCATGACAATAACTTGTGTGTAAGTGTTTGGATATTTCTGAAATTGTACTACAAGGTTCCATATCACAAAGGGAAAGCTGGAATTGAGTTTGGGGGTAATTGCCCGAAACGTTTAGGAATTGGGGGCCAAAAAGGGGCCAAAAATAAGCATTTTACTAGTTTCCAGACAATAACTTGTGTTCAAGTGTATGGATCTCTCTGAAATTGTACTGCAAGGTACCATACCACAAAGGGAAGGCTGGGATTGAGTTTGGGGGTGATGAATCATAAGGGGGTTTAAAAAATTTGGGGGGGGGGGGGGTTTTTTTTTCTTTTTTTCCTTTTTTTTTTCTTTTAAAATTTTCCATTTTAAGTTGGTTATTTCTGATTAATATTTAAAAGCAAATAATAATGATATGGTAGGAGATACACACCAAACAGGATGTGTAAATTATTATATAATAAGTATTGTGCAATAGCAAGAAATTTTCAATTGCACAGTATTGCACAATTGCAAGAAATCTTCAATTGCACAGTATTGCGCAATAGCAAGAAATCTTCAATTGCACAGTATTGGGCAATAGCAAGAAATATCCAATAGCACAATATTGCGCAATACAAAGAAATTGTCAATTGTACAGTATTGCACAATAGCAAGAAATATTCAATTGCACAGTATTGTGCAAAAGAAGATACTTCGAATAAATTGCTTATTTCTTGATCAATTTCAATGGGGTTTTATTCTTGAATTCTTGGGGTTCTTTAATATGCTGAATCTAACCGTGTATTAAGTTTTTATACGACCGCAAAAAAATTTTGTGGTCGTATATTGGTATGATGTTGGCGTCGTCGTCGTCGTCGTCGTCGTCCGGCGTCGTCGTCCGAATACACATTGGTTTTCGCACTCTAACTTTAGTTTAAGTGAATGGATCTTTTTGAAATTTGACCATAAGGTTAAATACCACAAAAGGAAGGTTTGGATTGATTTTGGGGGTTATTGTACCAACAGTTAAGGAATTAGGGGCCAAAAAGGGGCCAAAAATAAGCATTTTCTAGTTTCCAGACAATAACTGTGGAACGGTGTATGGATCTCTCTGAAATTATACTACAAGTTTCCATACCACAAAGGGATTGTTAGGATTTGCTTTGGGGGGTTATGGCTCAAACCGTTTAGGAATTAGGGGCAAAAAAGGGGGAAAAACAAGGTTGTCCTGGTTAATGGACAAATACTTTAGTACAAAACATAACTTAAAGCAGTGTAAGGGAGATAAATCAAATTCATCATTGAAATTATCTCCCTTACACTGCTTTTAAATTATGTATAAAGTAATGGTTAATGAACAATAAAGATAATTTAAAACAGTGTAAGGGAGGTAATCAAAATACAACGTTTTGGTTACTTCCCTTACACTGCTTTTAAATTATGTTTAAAGAAATGCATATTTATAAAGGAAGACCAGTAAAAATATCTGCAAATGTTGCATCTTTTTTTTTTACAAAAAAATCCATATGAAAGATTTGACACTATATTTTTAATTCTATTATAAAATAGATTAAGTTAGCACTATGGTAAATTTAAATGGGTAATTATGGTTGCCAACTCCATTGGAAATTTGAATTGAGATTATGACCATATCTTGAGGGAAAGAATTTTTTTGGGGAAAAAAGGGGGGGGGGGGATAAAAAGAAATGGTGGGGGGTCAATTTTTTCTCATTTCAGATTTCAGAAATTAAAAAGAATTATTCTTCAAATATTATTTTTTTTTCAAATTTCAAATATTGAAAAATTTCAAGAAGTAATCTTTAATTGCACAGTATGGCGCATTATATTTGTAAAATCTTTGATCACATTTATTTATTTGTTATGCCGAATCTAACAGTGTATTTAGATTTTTAATTTTGGGTCCAGTTTTCAAATTGGTCTACATTAAGGTCCAAAGGGTCCAAAATTAAACTTTGTTTGATTTTAGCAAAAATTGAATATATGAGGTTCTTTGATATGCTGAATCTAAACATGTATTTAGATTTTTGATTTTTGGCCCAGTTTTCAAGTTGGTCCAAATTGGGGTCCAAAATTAAACTTTGTTTGATTTCAACAAAAATTGAATATATGGGGTTCTTTGATATGCTGAATCTAACCATGTATTTAGATTTTTTATTTGTGGACCCCGTTATCAAATTGGTTCATATTGAGGTCAAAAGGGTCCAAAATTAAACTTTGTTTGATTTCATCTAAAATTGAATTATTGGGGTTCTTTGATATTCCAAATCTAACCGTGTATTTAGATTTTTAATTTTGGGTCCTGTTTTTTAAATTGGTCTACATTAAGGTCCAAAGGGTCCAAAATTAAACTTAGTTTGATTTTAACAAAAATTGAATTCTTGGGGTTCTTTGATATGCTGAATCTAGACATGTGTTTAGATTTTTGATTATGGGCCCAGTTTTCAAGTTGGTCCAAGATAGGGTCCAGTATTTAAACTTTGTTTGATTTTAACAAAAATTGAATATATGGGGTTCTTTGATATGCTGAATCTAAACATGTGTTTAGATTTTTGATTATGGGCCCAGTTTTCAAGTTGGTCCAAGATAGGGTCCAGTATTTAAACTTTGTTTGATTTCAACAAAAATTGAATATATGAGGTTCTTTGATATGCTGAATCTAACCATGTATTTAGATTTTTTATTTGTAGGCCCCGCTATCAAATTGGTTCATATTGAGGTCAAAAGGGTCCAAAATTAAACTTTGTTTGATTTCATCAAAAATTGAATTATTGGGGTTCTTTGATATGCCAAATCTAACCGTGTTTTTAGATTTTTAATTTCGGTCCCGTTTTTAGCTCACCTGGCCCGAAGGGCCAAGTGAGCTTTTCTCATCACTTGGCGTCCGTCGTCCGTCGTCCGGCGTCGTCCGTCGTCGGCGTTAACTTTTTACATTTTGAACTTCTTCTAGAGAACCACTGAATGGAATGAAACCAAACATGGCATGAATGTTCCTTATGAGGTGCTGACCAAGTGTTGTTACTTTGTAGCCGATCCATCATCCAAGATGGCCGCCAGCGGGGGACTTAGTTTAACATAGGACCCTATGGGAAATGCATACAAATGACTTCTTTTAGAGAACCACTGAATGGAATAAAACCAAACATGGCATGAATGTTCCTTATGAGGTGCTCACCAAGTGTTGTTACTTTGTAGCCGATCCATCTTCCAAGATGGCCGCCAGCGGGGGACTTAGTTTAACATAGGACCCTATGGGAAATGCATACAAATGACTTCTTTTAGAGAACCACTGAATGGAATAAAACCAAACATGGCATGAATCTTCCTTATGAGGTGCTGACCATGTGTTGTTACTTTGTAGCCGATCCATCTTCCAAGATGGCCGCCATCGGGGAACTTAGTTTAACATAGGACCCTATGGGAAATACATACAAATGTCTTCTTTTAGAGAACCACTGAATGGAATGAAACCAAACATGGCATGAATGTTCCTTATGAGGTGCTGACCAAGTGTTGTTACTTTGTAGCCGATCCATCATCCAAGATGGCCGCCAGCGGAGGACTTAGTTTAACATAGGACCCTATGGGAAATACATAAAAATGTCTTCTTTTAGAGAACCACTGAATGGAATGGAACCAAACATGGCATGAATGTTCCGTATGAGATGCTGACCAAGTGTTGTTACTTTGCAGTCGATCCATCTTCCAAGATGGCCGCCAGCGGGGGACTTAGTTTAACATAGGACCCTATGGGAAATACATACAAATGTCTTCTTTTAGAGAACCACTGAATGGAATGAAACCAAACATGGCATGAATGTTCCTTATGAGGTTCTGACCAAGTGTTGTTACTTTGTAGCCGATCCATCATCCAAGATGGCCGCCAGCGGGGGACTTAGTTTAACATAGGACCCTATGGGAAATACATACAAATGTCTTCTTTTAGTGAACCACTGAATGGAATGAAACCAAACATGGCATGAATCTTCCTTATGAGATGCTGACCAAGTGTTGTTACTTTGTAGCCGATCCATCATCCAAGATGGCCCCCAGCGGGGGACTTAGTTTTACATAGGACCCTTTGGGAAATACATAAAAATGTCTTCTTTTAGAGAACCAATAAATGGAATGGAACCAAACATGGCATGAATGTTCCTTATGAGATGTTGACCAAGTGTTGTTACTTTGCAGCCGATCCATCATCCAAGATGGCCGACAAATGGGGACCTAGTTTAACATAGGACCCTATGGGAAATACATACAATTGTCTTCTTTTAGAGAACCACTGAATGGAATTGAACCAAACATGGCATGAATGTTCCTTATGAGTTGCTGACCAAGTGTTGTTACTTTGCAGTCGATCCATCATCCAAGATGGCCGCTAGGGGGGGGGGGGGGCTTAGTTTAACATAGGACCCTATGGGAAATACATACAAATGTCTTCTTTTAGAGTACCACTGAATGGAATGAAACCAAACATGGCATGAATGTTCCTTATGAAGTGCTGACCAAGTGTTGCTACTTTGTTGCCGATTTACTGTTCAAGATGGCCACCAGGATATTTTATTAAATAACGGGACCAATATTAATCAAAATTTGGCCTCAATCATTATTTGGGTATCTGTTATGATTTTTATCTATCTTTACATGATTTCTAAAACCAAAGTAGAGTCAGGTGAGCGACACAGGCTCTTGAGAGCCTCTAGTTTAAATTGGTCTTCATTGAGGTCCAAAGGGTCCAAAATGAAACTTAGTTTGATTTTAACAAAAATTGAATTCTTGGGGTTCTTTGATATGCTGAATCTAAACATGTGTTTAGATTTTTGTTATGGGCCCAGTTTTCAAGTTTGTCCAAGTTGGGGTCCAAAATTAAACTTTTTTTGATTTCAACAAAAATTGAATATATGGGGTTCTTTGATATGCTGAATCTAACCATGAATTTAGATTTTTTATTTGTGGGCCCCGCTATCAAATTGGTTCATATTGAGGTCAAAAGGGTCCAAAATTAAACTTTGTTTGATTTCATCAAAAATTGAATTATTGGGGTTCTTTGATATTCCAAATCTAACCGTGTATTTAGATTTTTAATTTTAAGTCCCGTGTTTTAAATTGGTCTACATTTAGGTCCAAAGGGTCCAAAATTAAACTTAGTTTGATTTTAGCAAAAATTTAATTCTTGGGGTTCTTTGATATGCTGAATCTAAACATGTGTTTAGATTTTTGATTATGGGCCCAGTTTTCAAGTTTGTCCAAGTTGGGGTCCAAAATTAAACTTTGTTTGATTTTAACAAAAATTGAATATATGGGGTTCTTTGATATGCTGAATCTAACCATGTATTTTGATTTTGGACATTGGACCATAATAGGTAAATTAAAAAAATTCAAGTTCTTAGACCACATTCTTTCTGTGTCAGAAACCTATGGTGTGTCAAATATTTAATAACAATCCAAATTCAGAGCTGTATCAAGCTTGAATGTTGTGTCCATACTTGCCCCAACTGTTCAGGGTTCGACCTCTGCGGTCGTATCAAGCTGCGCCCCAGCGAAGCATTTTATTGGATTTTGGGCCCCGTTTTTAAATTGGTCCACATTGAGGTCCAAAGGGTCCAAAATTAAACTTTGTTTGATTTCATCAAAAATTGAATTATTGGGGTTCTTTGATATGCCGAATCTAACCGTGTATTTAGATTCTTAATTTTTGGTTCCGTTTTCAAATTGGTCTACATTAAGGTCAAAAGGGTCCTAAATTAAACTTAGTTTGATTTTAACAAAAATTGAATTTTTAGGGTACTTTGATATGCTGAATCTAAACATGTATTTAGATTTTTGATTATGGGCCCAGTTTTCAAGTTGGTCCAAATCGGGGTCCAAAATTAAACTTTGTTTGATTTCAACAAAAATTGAATATATGGGGTTCTTTGATATGCTGAATCTAACCATGTATTTAGATTTTTGATTTTTGGGCCTCGTTATCAACTTTGTCCACATTGAGGTCAAAAGGGTCCAAAATTAAATTTTGTTTGATTTCATCAAAAATTGAATTCTTGGGGTTCTTTGATATGCTGAATCTAACCATGTATTTAGATTTTTTATTTGTGGACCCGCTATCAAATTGGTTCATATTGAGTTCAAAAGGGTCCAAAATTAAACTTTGTTTGATTTCATCAAAAATTGAATTATTGGGGTTCTTTGATATGCCAAATCTAACCGTGTATTTAGATTTTTAATTTTGGGTCCCGTTTTTAAATTGGTCTACATTAAGGTCCAAAGGGTCCAAAATTAAACTTAGTTTGATTTTAACAAAAATTGAATTCTTGGGGTTCTTTGATATGCTGAATCTAAACATGTGTTGAGATTTTTGATTATGGGCCCAGTTTTCAAGTTGGTCCAAGTTGGGGTCCAAAATTAAACTTTGTTTGATTTCAACAAAAATTGAATATATGGGGTTCTTTGATATGCTGAATCTAAACATGTATTTAGATTTTAGATTTTTGGCCCAGTTTTCAAGTTGGTCCAAATTGGGGTCCAAAATTAAACTTTGTTTGATTTCAACAAAAATTGAATATATGGGGTTCTTTGATATGCTGAATCTTACCATGTATTTAGATTTTTTATTTGTGGGCCCGCTATCAAATTGGTTCATATTGAGGTCAAAAGGGTCCAAAATTAAACTTTGTTTGATTTCATCAGAAATTTAATTATTGGGGTTCTTTGATATGCCAAATCTAACCGTGTATTTAGATTTTTAATTTTGGGTCCCGTTTTTTAAATTGGTCTACATTAAGGTCCAAAGGGTCCAAAATTAAACTTAGTTTGATTTTAACAAAAATTGAATTTTTGGGGTTCTTTGATATGCTGAATCTAAACATGTGTTTAGATTTTTGATTATGGGACCAGTTTTCAAGTTGGGGTCCAAAATTAAACTTTGTTTGATTTCAACAAAAATTGAATATACGGGGTTCTTTGATATGCTGAATCTAAACATGTATTTAGATTTTAGATTTTTGGCCCAGTTTTCAAGTTGGTCCAAATTGGGGTCCAAAATTAAACTTTGTTTGATTTCAACAAAAATTGAATATATGGGGTTCTTTGATATGCTGAATCTTACCATGTATTTAGATTTTTTATTTTGTGGGCCTGCTATCAAATTGGTTCATATTGAGGTCAAAAGGGTCCAAAATTAAACTTTGTTTGATTTCATCAAAAATTGAATTATTGGGGTTCTTTGATATGCCAAATCTAACCTTGTTTTTAGATTTTTAATTTTGGGTCCAGTTTTTTAAATTGGTCTACATTAAGGTCCAAAGGGTCCAAAATTAAACTTAGTTTGATTTTAACAAAAATTGAATTCTTGGGGTACTTTGATATGCTGAATCTAAACATGTGTTTAGATTTTTGATTATGGGACCAGTTTTCAAGTTTGTCCAAGTTGGGGTCCAAAATTAAACTTTGTTTGATTTCAACAAAAATTGAATATATGGGGTTCTTTGATATGCTGAATCTAACCATGTATTTTGATTTTGGACATTGGACCATAATAGGTAAATTAAAAAAATTGAAGTTCTTAGACCACATTCTTTCTGTGTCAGAAACCTATGCTGTGTCAAATATTTAATCACAATCCAAATTCAGAGCTGTATCAAGCTTGAATGTTGTGTCCATACTTGCCCCAACTGTTCAGGGTTCGACCTCTGCGGTCGTATCAAGCTGCGCCCAGCGAAGCATTTTATTAGTAGTTTGTTGCTGATATTAAAGTGTCATAAGTCAATGAGACATCAACCCAACAAACAAAGTAATGAAATACTTTCAGTTTAGTTGCAGAATATCATGGTCATTTTGATTAGGCAGCATAACTACCTACAAAAACATGTTTATATAAATGTGGCATGATTTCTAATGAGACAACTATTCAAAAGGGACCAACTTATTTTTCTGTATTAAAGTTCACAGTTCCACCTCTGACTTTGAGTAAAACCTATAGCAAGCTGTACAAAGACCCAAAATGACCTTATGAAAACATCAAGCATGTATGTACAAAACAACAATGAGATAAAAACCAAACTTTTACAGATTTGTTCACAAGGCGACCAGCATGCAGATATTTACCCTATATGTACATGTAAAGAGCTGTTGATAAAACTTATACAAGGTGGTGTTGGTTAAATGTGCTTTCCTGAGTGATGAAGTTATTAGTGCACATTATTTGGTTCAATTTCTATCTTAGTCAAATTAAACACAGTAACTTAATATAATAAAATGCTCTGCTGGGCCCAGCTTGATACGACTGCAGAGGCCGAACCCTGAACAGTTGGGGCAAGTATGGACACAACAGTCAAGCTTGATACAGCACTGAATTTGGATTGTGATTAAATATTTGACACAGCATAGGTTTCTGACACAGAATAAATGTGGTCTAAGAACTTATGAATTTTTAATTTACCTATTCAAACACAAGTTATTGACTGGAAACTAGAAAAATCCTTGTTTTTTGGCCCCTTTTTGGTTCAAAATTCCTAAACATTTAGGGAAATTATCCCCAAACTCAAACCTAGCTTTCCCTTCGTGATATGGAACCGTGTAGTACAATTTCAGAAAGATCCATACACTTACACACAAGTTATTGTCATGAAACTAGAAAAATGCTTGTTTTTTGGCCCTTAATTACTAAAATTTTGAGGCAATTACCCCCAAAATCAATCCCAGCCTTCCCCTTTGTGATATGGAACCTTGTGGTACAATGTCAGAGAGATCCATACACTAACACACAAGTAATGTCTGGAAGTTACAAAAATGCTTATTTTTGGCCCCTAATTCCTGAACTGTTGGTACCATAACCCCCAAAATCAATCCCCACCTTACTTTTGTGGTATTGAACCTTATGGTAAAATTTCATGGAGATCCATTTACTTAAACTAAAGTAAGAGTGCGAAAACCAATGTGTCTTCAGACGACGACGCCAACGTCATACCAATATACGACCGCAAAATTATTTTGTGGTCGTATAAAAAAGAAGATGTGGTATTAAGTCTATATTTGACTGTTTTCTTGATGAACACATTGGTCTTGAACAAAGTTGTAAGTAAGATATAGTCCCACTTCATGTTATTGTCTTGAATATGCATGAAATATTTGCCACTGAAACCCAAGTGAAGAAATCAATAATCAATCAACCTATCAATGTTCATTTTGAGCAAAAATAATCATCCTCTATGTATACTGTTGGTTACACCAAGTTAAATACAATGAGTTTGCTATATAGAACAAATATAACATCATCAAGAACAATGAACAAAAAGGTCAAAGTCATACATGTCATATGAACCATGCCAAAACTTAGCACAAAAGGACATACATCAATAGCAATAATTCTATACACCAAAGATAGTTGACTTGTTGATCAATAAACCATGAAAAGTCAAGGTCAGAAACCAACCAGAGTGATTTTTATAGTTCGTTCCTGTGTTGTACTGTTACACCACTGTCCCAGGTTAGGATCCTGCTAACATGTTTAACCCCGCCACATTCTGTATGTATGTGCCTGTCCTAAATCAGGAGCCTTAGGTAATTCAGTGGTTGTCGTTTGTTTATGTGTTACATATTTGTTTTTCGTTCATTTTTATACGACCGCAAAAAAATTTTGTGGTCGTATATTGGTATGACGTTGGCGTCGTCGTCGTCCGAAGACACATTGGTTTTCGCACCCTAACTTTAGTTTAAGTGAATGGATCTTTTTGAAATTTGACCATAAGGTTAAATACCACAAAAGGAAGGTTGGGATTGATTTTGGGGGTTATGGTACCAACAGTTAAGGAAATAGGGGCCAAAAATAAGCATTTTCTAGTTTCCAGACAATAACTGTGGAACGGTGTATGGATCTCTCTGAAATTATACTACAAGTTTCCATACCACAAAGGGATGGTTAGGATTTGCTTTGGGGGGTTATGGCTCAAACCGTTTAGGAATTAGGGGCAAAAAAGGGGGAAAAACAAGGTTGTCCTGGTTAATGGACAAATACTTTAGTACAAAACATAATTTAAAGCAGTGTAAGGGAGATAAATCAAATACATCATTGAAATTATCTCCCTTACACTGCTTTTAAATTATGTATAAAGTAATGGTTAATGAACAATAAAGATAATTTAAAACAGTGTAAGGGAGGTAATCCAAATACAACGTTTTGGTTACTTCCCTTACACTGCTTTTAAATTATGTTTAAAGAAATGCATTTTTATAAAGGAAGACCAGTAAAAATATCTGCAAATGTTGCATCTTTTTTTTTACAAAAAAATCCATATGAAAGATTTGACACTATATTTTTAGTTCTATTATAAAATAGATTAAGTTAGCACTATGGTAAATTTAAATGGGTAATTATGGTTGCAAACTCCATTGGAAATTTGAATTGAGATTATGACCATATCTTGAGGGAAAGAATTTTTTGGGGGGGAAAAGGGGGGGGATAAAAAGAAATTGTGGGGGGTCAATTTTTTCTCATTTCAGATTTCAGAAATTAAAAAGAATTATTCTTCAAATATTATTTTTTTTTCAAATTTCAAATATTGAAAAATTTCAAGAAGTTATCTTTAATTGCACAGTATGGCGCATTAGATTTGTAAAATCTTTGATCACATTTATTTATTTGTTATGCCGAATCTAACAGTGTATTTAGATTTTTAATTTTGGGTCCAGTTTTCAAATTGGTCTACATTAAGGTCCAAAGGGTCCAAAATTAAACTTTGTTTGATTTTAGCAAAAATTGAATATATGAGGTTCTTTGATATGCTGAATCTAAACATGTATTTAGATTTTTGATTTTTGGCCCAGTTTTCAAGTTGGTCCAAATTGGGGTCCAAATTAAACTTTGTTTGATTTCAACAAAAATTGAATATATGGGGTTCTTTGATATGCTGAATCTAACCATGTATTTAGATTTTTTATTTGTGGACCCCGTTATCAAATTGGTTCATATTGAGGTCAAAAGGGTCCAAAATTAAACTTTGTTTGATTTCATCTAAAATTGAATTATTGGGGTTCTTTGATATTCCAAATCTAACCGTGTATTTAGATTTTTAATTTTGGGTCCTGTTTTTTAAATTGGTCTACATTAAGGTACAAAGGGTCCAAAATTAAACTTAGTTTGATTTTAACAAAAATGGAATTCTTGGGGTTCTTTGATATGCTGAATCTAAACATGTGTTTAGATTTTTGATTATGGGCCCAGTTTTCAAGTTGGTCCAAATTGGGGTCCAAAATTATACTTAGTTTGATTTCAACAAAAATTGAATATATGAGGTTCTTTGATATGCTGAATCTAACCATGTATTTAGATTTTTTATTTGTGGGCCACGCTATCAAATTGGTTCATATTGAGGTCAAAAGGGTCCAAAATTAAACTTTGTTTGATTTCGTCAAAAATTGAATTATTGGGGTTCTTTGATATGCCAAATCTAACAGTGTTTTTTAGATTTTTAATTTGGGTCCCGTTTTTTAAATTGGTCTTCATTGAGGTCCAAAGGGTCCAAAATTAAACTTAGTTCGATTTTAACAAAAATTGAATTCTTGGGGTTCTTTGATATGCTGAATCTAAACATGTGTTTAGATTTTGGTTATGGGCCCAGTTTTCAAATTGGTCCAAATTGGGGTCCAAAATTAAACTTTTTTGATTTCAACAAAAAATGAATATATGGGGTTCTTTGATATGCTGAATCTAACCATGAATTTAGATTTTTTATTTGTGGGCCCCGCTATCAAATTGGTTCATATTGAGGTCAAAAGGGTCCAAAATTAAACTTTGTTTGATTTCATCTAAAATTGAATTATTGGGGTTCTTTGATATTCCAAATCTAACCGTGTATTTAGATTTTTAATTTTAAGTCCCGTTTTTAAATTGGTCTACATGAAGGTCCAAATCGGGGTCCAAAATTAAAATTAGTTTGACTTTAGCAAAAATTGAATTCTTGGGGTTCTTTGATATGCTGAATCTAAACATGTGTTTAGATTTTTGATTATGGGCCCAGTTTTCAAGTTTGTCCAAGTTGGGGTCCAAAATTAAACTTTGTTTGATTTTAACAAAAATTGAATATATGGGGTTCTTTGATAAGCTGAATCTAACCATGTATTTTGATTTTGGACATTGGACCATAATAGGTAAATTAAAAAAATTCAAGTTCTTAGACCACATTCTTTCTGTGTCAGAAACCTATGCTGTGTCAAATATTTAATAACAATCCAAATTCAGAGCTGTATCAAGCTTGAATGTTGTGTCCATACTTGCCCCAACTGTTCAGGGTTCGACCTCTGCGGTCGTATCAAGCTGCGCCCCAGCGAAGCATTTTATTTGTACATAAATTAGGCCGTTAGTTTTCGTTTGAATTGTTTTACATTTGTCATTTCAGGGCCTTTTATAGCTGACTATGCGGTATCGGCTTTGCTCATTGTTGAAGGCCGTACAGTGACCTATAGTTGTTACTTTCTGTGTCATTTGGTCTCTTGTGGAGAGTTGTCTAATCATGCTCATTGGCTATCATTCCACATCTTCTTTTTTATATAACATGTACATCTTACAATAATTCCACACCAAATATATTTTTCTGTTTGTTTATCATGTTTATAGTAATCGAGATGCAGACTTGACCCCGAATATATGCTTGTTTCATGAAATAAGGTCAAGATTAGGCGAATCTGCAACCATATCTGACAGACATGGCAGACATGGTTTTCTCTTTTGAATTTTTTCATATTTTTCTGGTCTGGGCCTTTTGTAGCCGACTAAAGGCATGGGTTTTTCTCGTTGTACTACAATTGCTTATATCAAGTTATTGGAAAGTCTGGAGGGTAGTTGTCTGATTGGCAATCATACCGCATCTCTTTATTTTTAAGATGAAAACTAGTAAATATCTTATGATGTGTGTCATTCAGTTACTGTCTCATTTGTTTTTATACGCTACATCTCTGTTTAGTCACATTGACAGCTGCAGGCATGACATGAACCCAGATCTAGAGTGGCAATACAGCAATTGTAAGGGGGTTAAAAGTCTAAACAATTTGAAGAGTCTAAAGTTTAAAGAAACCAGATACTGAAAAATTAAATAAATAAATATCAACTGTTTTAATCATGTTGTATTTCTAATAAAGCCATATCAAGATCTTCGAAGTATTCATAGGATGACAAATTGTAGTCTTCAGTATCGCTATCTGATACAGCAGAATCTTCTTGCTCCTCGAGCTCCTTAACAACTTGTTCTGACAGAAATAACTTCTCAAGAGGTAACATATCACAGGATTCACAATTACAAGACTTAGCACACAAGTCACAGCATGAATGTTTCCTGCTTTCTTTCTTCATCAAATCATCCAAGTCTGAATTTCTGAGGAAATTAAACATCAGATCCTTTCTCCTACAATCTTTAGCTTTAAGAATTGCCTTAACTTCCGGTTTCAACTTCTGCAAGTGGTATCCATTGTATAGGATAATGGCAACTGATGGATTTCCATCCCTCCCCACTCGCACTATTTCTTGCAGCAAATCTACCAGATTATTTGGAGGTCCAAATAATACCACTCCACTACACTTTTTTACATCTAAACCCATTCCCAGGGCACTGGTTGACTAAATAAGTCTCAAAACACTACTTTCCTCCTTCAATGCATTAATAATAATGTTTTTGTTAACATCTGGAGTTTCAGAATGGAACATCTCAATATACTGTTACAATGTATTTATAAAGTTTGGAAGTGTCATTTATCGATGAACAATACAAAAGTGTACGTGGGAAGTCCTGTCTTTTTTCCTCTAATGCATCTACTAACCATGTCATTCCCATTTCAATTTCATTTTTAATTTTGGAAGATACTAGTTTAATATTAGACTTGTTTGGTGATAAATTAATTTCTGTTGTGTCCTCCGCTAGCTGCAATATTTTCATGACTTTTTTCCTAAAGCTTACAGTGCAAGTTGCACTCAAAGCCAATACTGTAGCATCGGGAAAGAGGGATCTTAGTTCAACTACATTTGAAAACCATTTTCGGAAAGCCTCTTTTCTGTCTCCTTCATCTTGGCCCCTGAAAGAAAATTGAAATAAGTACATCTATAAAAACTTTTATTAAAGGTAAATATCAGCACCTCTTGCCTAGTTTGTTAATTCTTATGGCAAAACAAAAATAAATACATGTATGTGCATGTCCATATTGTTATGTAACAGCCTATCATTCAGTGGTTTTTATACGACCGCAAAAAAATTTTTGTGGTCGTATATTGGTATGACGTTGGCGTCGTCGTCGTCGTCGTCGTCCAGCGTCGTCGTCCGAATACACATTAGTTTTCGCACTCTAACTTTAGTTTAAGTGAATGGATCTCATTGAAATTTTACCATAAGGTTCAATACCACAAAAGGAAGGTGGGGATTGATTTTGGGGGTTATGGTACTAACAGTTAAGGAATTAGGGGCCAAAAGGGGCCAAAAATAAGCATTTTTGTAACTTCCAGACATAACTTGTGTGTAAGTGTATGGATCTCTCTGACATTGTAGGACAAGGTTCCATATCACAAAGGGAATGCTGGGATTGATTTTGGGGGTAATTGTCTCCAAATTTTTGGAATTAGGGGCCAAAAAGGGGCAAAAAACAAGCATTTTTCTAGTTTCATGACAATAACTTGTTTGTAAGTGTATGGATCTTTATGAAATTGTACTACAAGGTTCCATATCACAAAGGGAATACGGGGAATGATTTTTGGGGTAATTTCCTCCAAATATTAGGAATTAGGGGCCAAAAAGGGGCAAAAAACAAGCATTTTTCTAGTTTCATGACAATAACTTGTTTGTAAATGTATGGATCTTTATGAAATTGTACTACAAGGTTCCATATCACAAAGGGAAGGCTGGGATTGATTTTGGGGGTTTTCCCTCAAAATTTTAGTAATTAGGGGCCATAAAAGGGCAAAAAAAACATGCATTTTTCTAGTTTCAGGACAATAACTTGTGTGTAAGTGTATGGATCTTTATGAAATTGTACTGCAAGGTTCCATATCACAAAGGGAAAGCTGGAATTGAGTTTGGGGGTAATTGCCCTAAACGTTTAGGAATTTGGGGCCAAAAAGGGGCCAAAAAACAAGCATTTTTCTAGTTTCCAGACAATAACTTGTGTTCAAGTGTATGAATCTCTCTGAAATTGTACTGCAAGGTACCATACCACAAAGGGAAAGCTGGGATTGAGTTTGGGGGCGATGAATCATAAGGGGGTTCAAAAAATTGGGGGGGGGGGATTTTTTTTTTCCTTTTTTTTCTTTAACATTTTCCATTTTAAATTGGTTATTTCTGATTTATATATAAAAGCAAATAATAATGATATGGTTTGAATAGGCATACATGTGAACCTCCCGACGGGAGTACAATAATCCCGTTTTCAGGGGTCTCCTCCCCCCTCCTGTTGAAAAAATCCCGTGTATGAAATTTTTCATGAATGAAAAATTTCTGCCCAACATAACATCTCAGGCATCTGGTGTAACTGACATTACCTGAAGTTATATTTTACCTGTAAATCAATTAACATGCATAATTATATGGCTTCACTTGTCAGCTTGGGTGTCAGACATACTGGTAAGCAAAGATTTTTACCTCAGGCTAACTGCCGTTGTGTAACAAAAACTGTGTATTTATTGGGTTACTTCCCTTGATTTATCCTGTTTTAAGTTACTTTCCTTTTAATAATGAAAATTTTTAAAAGAATATAAATAAAATATAAATTGAACAAATAATCATAAAAGGATGGTTATTAAATGATTTTAAATGTCTTAGGACAAATAAAAAAATAATAATTTGAAAATTATTTGAGGATTCTATACTTCCTTTTAAGGCTTAAATTGAAATTTATATAATAACTATGACCCTAACTTTACAGATAGAATGAATTTTGAGTTTGCAAATAAAAACTATTTGCAAGAGGAAAAAAAAAAAAATAAAAACTATTTGCAGACAGCTAAACAAATGTTCTGGTTGCAATGATTGTTTTATAGAATATGAAGTAAAAAATTTAAAGAACATACTGGAAAAAAACAATGTTAGATTGAACATGTAGAATATAAACATAATAAATTGGTTGGAAAGTTGAAGAAAACACACTTTAAAAGACCATTTTTACAGCACACGGTTACATTTACAACAAAATTAATGTCGATTAAAAACCTCCTGATCTGAGTCCTAATCTCCTGACCAAAATTTCCCAATCTCCTGATCTGAGTTTCACAGTCCATCACATGTATGAATAGGTAAATTGAAAATTTTTAAGTTCTTAGACCACTTTCATTCTGTGTCAGAAACCTATGCTGTGTCAAATATTTAATTACAATCCAAATTCAGTGCTGTATCAAGCTTGAATGTTGTGTCCATACTTGCCCCAACTGTTCAGGGTTCGACCTCTGCGGTCGTATCAAGCTGCGCCCCAGCGGAGCATTTTATTGTTGGTTGCTGTCTAGCACATTTGTTTAGGGTTTTATTTTTCATACATTCTTATAATTACATTGTAATGGTTCAACATTTTGCAAGTAGTGGTCTTAAAAGAGCTTACTTTTTAGTATTAGGTTATCTCGTTCTTGAAAGCTGTACAGTTCTGTACCAGTGGTCTTAATTTTTTACTTCTATATTTTTTGAAAATCTAAAATTCATAAAAATGGGAAGGGAGTACACATCAATATATAGAAACAATTCATCAAAGTTTCATGCAAATTCGTTGAATAGTTTTTTAATTTACTGTCCGACATGTTGACGATTGACAGACAGTCACAGGTTAGGGGAGGGTTGGGATCCCGCTAACATGTTTTACCCTGCCACATTCTGTATAGTGCCTGTCCCAAGTCAGGAGCCTGTAATTCAGTAGTTGTCATTTGTTTATGTGTTACATATTTGTTTTTTTCGTTCATTTTTTGTGCATAAATCAGGCCGTTTGTTTTCTGGTTTGAATTGTTTTACATTGTCATTTCGGGGCCTTTGATAGCTGACTATGTGATATGGGCTTTGCTCAATGTTGAAGGCCGTACGGTGACCTATAGTTGTTTATTTCTGTGTCATTTGGTCTCTTGTGGAGAGTTGTCTCATTGGCAATCCTACCACTATTCTTTTTTATATAGACAACAGTATACCATAATACGTCCTGTACGAATAGAAATGAACATGGGGAATAAACATTGTATCTACTTACCAAATTGCTATTGTGTGAAACTCATCAATTACAATCAACTTAATGTTCAACTTCTTTAGACAAGTTCTCCAATAGGGATCAACCAATGTTTCTGAAGATGCAAAAATGACATCAACCCCTCTTTGATTCGATCGTCACTCTAGGGGAGATGATCCTAAAATGCAAAAAAAAATGTAGGTGGGCAGTCTCCAAAAAGACACCTTTCTATGATAACTTCTATAATTTAAATGTACACTGTACAAATACCCTTTCTCCATTTCACTGCGTTTGATTAAAGATTGAAATCCAATGAAATTCTTATTGTTGTAAAGTCCAATACAGAAATGAATACAGCTGAGATTTCAATGAATGCATGGCATATTTTCTCGATTTTGAGATGTTTCTGCCAATTTACCTGTTTGGCCATCCAACAAGGTTATTTAGACTGCACTTTTTCATATTTTTTTTAAATTTTTTCATTGTTTAACACAAATAACAATCTAATTTAAAAATTAAGTTTCCCGCACGTTTCTGAGCCATGTAAAGCTGACTATGCTGTATGATTTCGCTCATTGTTGAAGGTCAGATGGTGACCTATAGTTGTAAACTTTGTCATTTGTTGTCTGGTGGAGAGTTGAGTTGGCAATTATACTTCAAGTCTTGTACATGTACGACATCTTCTTATTCTTATATGCATGTATATTTGTTTTGAGATAGATTATTAGTACATGTAATTAACAATTCCGATGGACTCTGGTGCTTCATTAATACAACATGTAGTATATATCTTTATACAAAGTATGAAAAACTAGCATTATGGCCAAAACGACTGTAAAATACTGGCAATATGACCGATACAATCTGTTCTCTGTGAAATGAGACAAATTTATGTGCTACCATGGCTACGATCTACGGCTTCTGCAGTTTTTTTTAACTTTGCTCATGTATATCTAAGTTTCATATTACAATGTACTGCTTTGTTACTGTTAGTCATGTGTATGTGTTGATATACATTGTACTGAAGTTTATATGTATGTTCCTGCAAATAAATTTTATTTTATTTGATAAGGCATACATGTACATCTTTGCCTGGTCAGATGCGGATCCAGGACTATGGAAAACGGGCCCTGCATCTAGGCACCATAAGGTGTGGGAATAACGTCTTAAGATAGAGGCATTGCATTATTATATAAGTAGCTTCAACAGCATAGGCAGATCCAGGGGGGCCAGGGCCCCCCTTTTGTGGGAAAAATTGAGTTGATTATATAGGGAATCACTGAAGCATGACTGGAGCGGCCCCCTCTTAGGTCAGTCAGTGGGCCCCATTACAAAAAGTTCTGGATCCGCCACTGTACAGGGGGGATAACATGTCACCCCCTAACTGATTTCTCAGGTGTTATAAACATCTTTATTATACAACACTGCCAACATAATAATTATAATATAAATTAGGTGTTTAATGGCATTAAATACTACATGTATAGTATAGACTATTCCATTTATTGAAGCCTTACTACCACTGCATGCTTAAAGTTATACGAACCTTTGTATGCAGCAGTAATATTTCCAATGTGCGAGTTTTTCCACCTGGTCCTGCATCAGAGCTACTAAGGGACAACAGACTAAAACTTTCCAGTCAGAACTGTGTTCAATAACCTCCCGGACAACTGGAAGGTACAGTTGAAACAGCAGTGACTTGCCAAAACCAGTCGGGAGTACAGCCACGCAGTTCTTCTTGTTAACTAAACACTCTTAAATTTCCTTTTGCTCCTTATTTATATCATTTATACCAAATTTTTGTAAAACTTTTGTCAAAACGTTGTCCGAACTGGGCGCATCCATGTTTTTTAACGATCCGATAATGGTATACAAGCCCATCGCTGATTGGGTAATCAAAATTGATTTTCTGCACGCTGATTGGTCGGTCAAAGTTCACCAAATTTGACCCTAGACATGACCCTCAAGCGGCTGTTGTTAGATCTCCCACGCGCGACATATAAACAACGAGGAGCAAGTGCGGAGATTTAATTTTAATTAGATTGTTGTAAACACTGAAATATTTAAAATCAAATGCTGTTCTTCTAGTTCTTGTTAAGCAGCCCCATAAAATCCTTAAAATTAAATTTACGGGAATCGTAAACTATTTGAGTTTTTCAAAAAATCAAAACAAGGATAAAAAAGTGGTAGTTCTAATTTTCACAAATTCCTATGTAGAGCTTTTATTATGCCGTCCTATCAAAGAAGTGAGACATGCTTGTAAAACTTTTTCTTTTGACATAGAATTTTGACGTTTGGCATATTATTGTATCCAGACTAGACGACATGTTACCTACCATCATAACCAGTATATGATCATGATGCCTTTTAAGATTCAAGATCATATTAACTGATATAAATTCAATTTAGCATATTTAGTCAAGACAGATTTTTTTTCATTTAATGTGAATACTGCAACATAATTAATAAAGTAAAAAATGTATTTGTTTATTAATCTTTTGTCATATCAATTCAAACAATCAAGATTTGTGTGTTTCTTAGTTTTGTTTTTGTTCCTTATTTTTTGAATGAATGCATATGTGCATGTATCAATATTTAGTTTACTGCATGTTTTATTTCTACAGAGTGATCAAAATATGACATCAGAAGATGAAACCACTATACAAGTTAGTATTATCTTTACATTATAACAGATCGCCACACAATTTCTAAGTGAAAGGAGTATTTGTTCTTTGTTCTGAAAAATTATACATTCTTCTTGTTTTTGTTCAAAGGTCAAGGTAGGTTACCTGTAAAAACAAAAACAAAAATTTGAGCAAACTTTTTGTTTCAGGCCAATATCTTTCTAGGCATAAGTCAAATATATTTTGGTGGATAATTTGAGTTAGGATGTAAAATACCCCTATTGATTTTGAGGTCACCTGGTCAAAGGTCAAGTTCCTAACAGCATGTAATAGATTGCAATTTTGGAAAACCTATGGGAAAATGTTTGGTTTTTGATCCTTTTGCATAAATTGTCAGCAGACTTTTCAGTCTTTATCAACAAGACTCCCTTAAAAAATATAGAACCTGATAAAAAAATCTGTTTCTCCTACATATCCATAAATATCTCAGCTGATGCACCCATGATGTATCTGTAATATCAATTTGTTTATTGTCTGTGCATGTGTGTAAGCTTTTGATTTTTAGTCACAAATGTTATAAATGCTGTATATTATGATATTTTTTTATTGTCCAAAATTGTTGCTAGATTAAATACTAAATAGCAATTGGCAATATTGGCAGAGCCCATCACTACCACTGATTATTTATTACCTGCATGATTCACAGCTTTATATCTAATTAAAACAAAAATAGTGTTCTGAATATGCATGAATTATTTGCCACTGGATGTTCCACAAAAACAATCTAATAATATTGAAAAACTTGACCCTACTGAGTACACAATTACTTGCACATAATCAGATCCAAATCTGCTAGGAAAATCTGAAAACAAAACCAAACACTCTCATTACCATGAAATAATAAAATCCAAGGATTGTCATTTTGTGAAAAATGTCTTTTGGAACAAATGCATGTATATAACTACTGATTGCACAACACCTGTGCAATTATAAAACTCATCGGATGTGAACCTTCACATAAATTTACCAAATGGCCTAACTAGCAACAGTGGAGACATTTTAATAGTGTGATTTTAAATTTCTGTACATGTCTTTATCTGTAAAGTTAACTATTTGTTCACTAATATTTGTCATAGCCTAGAAACTGTTTGTGTATGATGATATTTTTCCCTTGCCAGGATTCCAAGTCCTTGTTTAAGGTACAGACCAAATTAAAACATGCTACAGAGAGAATAGCTGAATTAGAGGAATCTCTAGAAGGAAAGCAGCTTGCATTAGACAGGGTGATCAGCGAAAACACCAAGTTAAAAGAATCTGACTTTTCGCAGAAGGTATATATATATTTAAACAGAACTTACAGCAAAAGAATTTGATATTGAAAATTACACTTATATATAATAGATAAAAAAAAATCTTAAAGGGTTCAGCGGAATCCTATGTAAAGCCTGTTATTGCTGCTGTCAAAGTTATAGTGTAACTTTGGGTGCATTTATCAGTAAAATATGGAAAATATACAAAATACTGTAAATTCAGAAATTATTGCGTGCATTTATTATTGCGAATTTTGTAGAATGGACTAAATTGCGAGATTAATTATTGTGATTTCAGGAAAATCTGCATATAGTTATATGTATCAGATATAATTATATATTATTATTGCGATACTCGTTCAGTCGTATTATTCGCATTAATGAAGATCTGGCAATATTTTCTGAATTTACAGCATTCAAACTATTTTCTTCAGATGCTATTTCTTGATCTTGAAGATCTGTCCAAGGTTCATCACATTATATAAAGGTTTGCCAAAGTTATTGATGTATTAACTTTAACCCAGACTGCATCTAAATGTCACTTTAATAAAAAAAGTCCTTTTATCAGTTAAATACCGAAAACTAGAAAACAAATATTTCAAAATTTTGCTCTTGGAACTATCTTTTGATCCTTAAAAAAAACTTCTGTCCAAGTTTCATACAATCCTATGAAAGTATGACAAAGTTAATACATAATGTAGGATCTCTATTTCTTGCTTCTGCCACAAAATGTTGCAGCATTACTTATCAAACCTTCAGGGAAATTTATGAAACTTGGACAGAATATTCTTCATGATCAAGGGTCTTGGTGGCTGTCAACTAGGAGTCTATCTTCATAAATTAAAAAAAAAAATCTTCTTTGCTGAAACTACTGGGCCAAATGTTTCCAAACTCAGGCTATCTTCAGTACGCCCAGGGATAGAAGATTCAGGAACTTTTTCCTCCTATTTCAGTGTATATCAGTGTCCCACTATGAATCACAGATTTTATTCTCAAATTCTTCCAAAAAATCTCTCCCAACACCTCATGGTTGATTATTGATTTATTGCTTGTCGGAATTAATAAGAATCAATGACGCATGACCACAAAATAGGACTAGCCAGATCATTTACCTATTCGATTACCTATATAAGACATATATACTATATTGTACATCACACATTGCTGATATTTTTATAAGTTTTAATAGAAAAAGATTGATGGTGTTAGAAAGCAGTTATAATTAATTCCTATTATCTTTCATGTGTCCTTTAAAAACAGACAGCTGAAATTTTGTACAAATATTAAGTATTTCCAAGAAAAACATTATTTAAAAAATTATGAGTGGTAGAAAATTCATGATGATAACATGTAATATGTTTCAAGAAAATTAATTAAGGAATGCAGTCTTGATGTATTTATCTTTTAACTCCAGATTGCTGAAATGGAAGTAGCTATGAGTAAGAGGGATGAAATAATAAGACAGTTGACAACAAGATTGCAGTCTACAGCCAGTTTACAAACTGAAGCAGAACAACTTACACATCATGTACAACAACTGCAGGCACAATTAATTAATGTATGTCATGGCTTGTGGCCCACTATAAGCCTTATCGTATAAGAATCATACACTGGATTTTAAAATGCCATTAAGAGATATATATTTAAAAACTACAATTAAAATGGAGCACTCCATGTAAAAGGCACAAGAATTTTTATCATATAATAAAATCACAGAATTAAATGAAACTTATACACAATGCTTATTACCACAAAACTAATATCAAGTTCATATTTGGGTAGCGTCACTTTTACAGTTCTCTAGTTAAGTTATGTCCCTTTAATATAACAGTATATGCAAGCGAGGGCATCATCTGTGTCCTATGAACACATTCTCCATTTATTTTTCTTTACACCAAAGAAAAGAAAATTTCAATGAAAGCAATTATTACCAGTCTTATGTTGAAGAGACAGTCTTAGTATTACTGTGAAGTAGATTGGAAAGAGAAAAATATGAATATCATTTACAAATTGAATGTGTTAAGGTATAGAACCACTAATTCAGGCCCGGTCGGAAAGAACATACAAGAAAGTAGTACATATTTTAAACAAAATAGTTCCTACACATAGTTGTATCTTTGTCAATAGTGGGAATATTTGGGTAGTTTTAGTATCAAATGAAAGCTTGGGGACTTGGAATCACTGTAGAACCCTTGTTGAAAGTTTTATTTGAATAATAAAGAAGTAAATGAAATTTTAATAGGAGGGCTTATTTGGCCTGTTGTTCAGATCAGAAGTTCCTGTTTTTGTACTATCAAACTTCTGGGAACCAGTACGCTCTAATATGCAATTAAAGGTATGTTGATTTTTTCAGCACAAGTCAGCATAAGGTACAGGTTTGACATGAAATAACTGCCACTTTATTTGAACTTAAGACAAAATTGCCATTTATGCTTGAAATTGCAGAATTTAACATAGAAAGCAATGGGCTATGAATTAGTGGTTTTATACCTTAAATGTGTTTATTGCTCAAATCTTAATCATAGGGTGTATAGTAAAGGTGGAAAGAGAGGTGAAAGATACACAAGGGGTTTTAAAATTCATAGGTCGAAAACAAACTGACAATGCCATGGCAAAAAACAAAGAAAAAAACAAAAGTACTCAAAGCACAATATTGAAAATTAAAGACTGAGCAACACGAACCCACACCAGAAAACGGGTGATTTCAGGTGCTCAGGAAGGGTAGGCAAATCCTGCTCCACATGTGACACCTGTCGTGTAGCTCATATAAGTTCAAACCTGGTGATAAATCTAATACGGTAGGTCACATTTGAGGAAAAAAAAGATTAAGTTACTGCCACTGTCACTAAAATTTAAAAAAAAATTAAAAAAAGACGATAAAAATATTTTAGAAAATTTATTAGGGACCAATTCTAATCAAACTTTGAAGAAATAAAACCCTTTGGCACACAATTTATTACTGTGAAAGTATAGTTATTTGTTGGATACCAATTTTCCTTTCTAGATAAAAGCATGAAATCCCATGTACATTGATGCAAGATTTCCTTTGATTTGTTGTACTTTGGCACGTTTTAAAACCATTTATCTAAATATAAGAGCCCAGTAACCAGAACTTAGTATACAGCATTAGTATCCAAGATAAATTTCTTTCTTATATATATTAGTTAAAGTAATTTCTTTAACAGTTTCCTCATAAAATTCATTCTTTTCACATTTCAGGCTGGGAAATTAATGGAATCTCAGAACAGCAAACAGTTAATGTCCTCCCAAGCCTTACTGGAAGCAAAACATGAAATTGAAGCTTTGCAGAAATGTATTGAAGACAAAGATACACTTCTTAGTCAGCTATCAGACAAAGTTGGTGCCATTTCTGATGAATATGTTAATTTAAAAGCTTCATATGAGGCCTCAAGACAAAAAGAGGCAGAAAGTTCTAAAGTTGTTAAAAGTCTGATGTCAGATGCAGAGGACATCCGAAGGCAAGGAAGTGTAAATGGTTCAGTGGCAGTATCTAATTCAGACGTCGAAGATAGAGTTCAAAAGGTCAGACTTGAACTGGAAGAAACATATGGGAATCAGATAGCCTTGATAAAGGATGAATTGTCAAAACTTTATAATGTTGAAGTTGAAAAATTGACTGGTGAATTAAACAATTTTAAGGAGATTTGTGCAAAACACGAAAGTGATAATAATTCTCTTGAAGAAGAAAAACAGAAATTAACAGCAAGAAATACTTCTAATGATTTATTGATTTCTGAACTTCAATCAAAATTAACCGAATTTAATTCAAAATGTGTTCAAATTCAAAGTGAAAAAGATGAACTTACAAAAGAAAGTTTGACTTTAAGTAAACAGATTGATTTATTAAGTTCCCAATTAGAATCCATACATCATGATCATCCAGAAAGTAATGGAAGTGAACCTGTTCAAGAGGACAATAATTTGGAATCATATAATAAAATCACAGAATTAAATGAGAGAAACTTAAATCTAACTTCTGAATTAGACACTATTAGAAAAGACTATGCTAATGCACAGAAAAATGTAGAAGAGTTGGAAAAGAAAGTAAAAGGTAGTAGACCTGCCAGATTCCAGGTTGACTCTCAGGAGATAGTGATGGAATTAAAACAGGTGACTGAACAGTATGAGGAAGCTTTGGTAAATATTGCACTCATGCAGGGAAGGATTGAAGACTATGATATAAAGTGTGAAATTCTAAATGAAGACTTGAATAAGATGAAAGAACAGTTGAAAAGATCAGAAAATGCAGCAAAAACTTATGAAGAACAGACAAAGGAATATGAAAATATTAAGGAAAAATTGAGCAAGTCAGAGCAGGAAATCAAAAGTTTTGAAGAAAGTGTTAAGGAGTATGAATCAAAGCATGAAAAAGTGTTATCAGAGCTACGTGATATGACAGAACAGTGTACTAATGCTCAAACACAGTGTGAAGAATACAGAGACAAATTCGTTGAATATGAACAGCAACTAACTGATTATGAAGGATTAACAACTCAGTACAATGAATTACAACATGAATGTAATGTATATCAAACACAAAATGATGAACTGAATAATAAAATGAATATTCAACAAGATGTTGTCATGGAGTTAAAGGCAGAGCTAGAAATATTGTCTAATCAAAACCAAGCATTTCAAGAACAGTCTCCTATACAGACACAGCAATTAGAGGACTTAACAAAGGAAAACAAATCTCTGTTAGAAAGTATTGACTTATATAAGGATGAAGTAACTAAACTAACTAATAGTCTAAATCAGGCAACTGTTGAGGTGGATACTTATAAGGAGAAAACCAATTCACTTGAAAGTTTAGTGAAAACTCTGGAGGATGAACTGAAATCAAAACGAGACACTGAATTAATGCTAAAGCAGAAAGATGATTCAATAAAGAAATTAACCAATGACATTGATGACTTAACATTACAGCTTCACATGCAAGAACCTGTTGAAGAAAGTTTCCAGAAGGAAACAATATCGCATGAAGAGGCATCTTTATCCTTGAGCAATTCTGTGTCTAATCAGGTTGTTACTTTGAATGAAACAAAAGACCTTCAGAATGCTCAGATTGTTCAGTCAGAAGCAAACTCATCTCTGTCATTTGATTGTTTTGTGCAGGAAGAAATAGAACAGCAGTCAGAACTGGCATTACATGTGGTTAGTGATATGGAAGCTGATTCTCTTGATGGCGATACAGTCGATTCTATTGAAGACTCAAAACAAAGTGATCTCATAGCTGAAATAAGTAAACTTCAACATGAAAACATTAACCTTCATGATGAAAATCATGAACTTAAGCTGACTATCCAAAACATAAAAGTTACTTATGGAAATGATTTGGAACAAGCATTACAGTCATGCCGTTCTGAAATTGTCAATTTATCGGCTAAAAAAACAAAAATAGAGACCTCTTATGCAGTACTAGAGGAAAATATAACTAAAATTAATGAAAAAGTTAGGTTAGCTGAATCAGCTTTGGCTACAGTGGAGGAAGAAAAGCTTGCACTTCAGAATGAATTAATATATATTAACAGTATGGTAGATGACATGTCCCTGAATGAGGGACTGTCTCAAAGTGATTCAAATACATCTTTAACAGTGTGTAATAAACTGAAAACACTCCAAGAAAAATTAGAAATTGCTCAATCAAATACTGAAAATCTAAGTTCCCAAAGTGAAAAATTAAAAACTGAAAAATTAGAAAATATAGAAATCCATAAAAATGTACTATTACACAAACAGGAGGAAAATGATAATTTATGTAAACAAGTTGAGTGTCTTCAAATTCAGATGAAAAACATGGAAACTGAAGTTGAAAAAAGTAAACAACTATTGAAAGAAAATTACAGTTTGAGTATATCTTTGCAAGAAATGAATGAAAGGGAACAAAACCTACGAATTCAATGTGAAAGGTTATCTCAGCAAATATTTGAACTGTCGGTCATAAATCAGACAGTGAGCGGTGACAAAGAAAACCTTGAGAACAGGTTTGTGGAAGTATCAGCAATGGAAAATACTGAGATCTCAGACTCAGTAGTGGACAGCCATGTAAATGAAGTGATGTCAAGTAAAAAGTCACATGATTTATTATTAACCAATCAGCAATTACTTCCAATTTCAGAACATGACAATGATGTAAAATGTGCAGTTACAGCAGATGGTGAAACCTTGGTGAGAGATGCTGAACCTAAGAAAACAACAGATTTGCTAGTCCATGAAGGTGAAATATCACAGCAGAGTACAGCCAACCAGTTAACCACGGTAAGATCAACCTGCATGCCGACCAGCCATGGTCAAGTTATGAATGTTTGTTCGTCTGTTTGTGTTAATTCAGTTAATCAGTTACCGCAAAATTCTGTTCATGATTTAGTTGCTTCTAATTTTAATTTTCAAATGATTGCCAGTCAAAATGATGATAAATATTGCAAACAAGCTGAAAATTTGGATCATAGTGAATGTGATTACCCTCAGAATTTGACAAGTGTTGCTGAATCATTTGATCAGACATACCAATCAAGTGAGAACACAAATAATCTATCAAAAAATCATGATAGTGATTGTAATCATGATTCAAATTCCAGTTCTAAAAATGATGACAATTTTCAGGATGCAGATGCTAGCTCAAATGAGTACACAGATCTTGGTGAAAATGAGAATGAAAATAATGAACAGTCAGAACATTTGAGGAATGAGAATACAATACTGAAGGTCAAGTTAGAGGACACACAAAATGATATGTCTGCTATACTGAATGATCGTGTCGAATTGGTAGGATCCATGGAAAACTTTTCTGACAAAATAAACTGTTTGCGTGAACATAATGAACGATTGCAGAAAGAATTGAAACGAAAAGTTGAAGACAATAAAGTCTTGCTTTTGAAAGTTGAAGAAAGCAATGAAAGTTCTGAAATAAGATGCAGGTTAGAAGATAAAATTATTGAACTTGTATCGGAAAACCAAAAGTTAAAATCAGAATATGGAGAAAGTAGAAAAAGATTAAAGGATGAGCATGAATCATTGAAATCTGCATTGAACTCATGGCAAGAGGCATCTAATTCTAGTCAACAGTTGAAGGAAGAAGTCACAGGCTTGTTTAATGAAATGGAAAGATTATCAGAACAAAAGCAGGACATGGAATCATCACTACAGGTTATGGAGGAAGCTTTTGTCACGAGCCAGTCACTAAATGATGAACTGCAAAGACAAGCACTAGAAAACTGTAAAAATCTGAAAGATATGGAAAAGTGGAAAATTCATGCTGAGGATTTGAAAGGACAATTAAGAGAAAGTGAAGAAAAGTTGGAAACTAAAACACATAAATGGAAAATATATGTAGGAGAAATTGAAAATAAACAAAAAGAAAAGTTGAATGATTTAGAATATGAAGTGGAAAAGAGAGCAGCCGAAGTTACTGAACTCAGGAATATAAATAGTGAGCTACAAAATAGATATCAGCAATTACAAGAGAAATGTAATGCATGCCAAACTGAAATCAGCCATTTGTATTTGGTTAACACAGACTTGGTTCAGGAACAAGATACAACATTTATTCAATGGACACATTTAAGACCAGAACTAAATAAATTGACAGAGAAATGTACCATGCAGGAAGGTTTGATTTTAGAGTTGAAAACTGAACAACTACAATTGATTTCCGATATCAAACTGAAACAAGAAAAGCATCACAGTACAGAAATATTCATGGCCAAGGAAAAAGATGAACTCTTGCAAAAATATTTAACATTAGAAAAGCATAATAAAAATTTGCTTGAAAAGTGTAATGAAAATGAAAATCAATTGTCAAAAATGACCACAGCATGCTCTGACTACGAAAAGAAATTCAAAGATCAGTTAGAAACTTGTGAGGTGTACCAATGGAAAATTTCTGAAATAGAGGACAAATGTTCTCATTATAAACAGCAAAGTAATGAATTGCAGCAGAAGTGCTGCGTATTTGAGGAGGAAATGTCAAAAATTAAGGAATCTTGTAGAAACTTAGAAATACAGCTACAAGAAAATTCAGAAAATAAAATGTGTTGTGAAACCAAGTTGATTGAGTTAAAAGATAAATATGGTCATCTAGAGGAAAGTAATGTTGAAATGAAGACAGACTTAAAACAAATGCAAGATAAAAGCAGTAAATTAGAAAATGAAAAAGAAGAATTGCAAGGAAAATGCTCAGATTATGAAAATCAACTGTTACAAACAAAAGAATGCTGTTTTAACCTTGAAAAACAAGTTGAAAAGATTAATGGACAGTCTGCAACATTTGAAAAACAAAAGGAAGAAATGATGGTTCAGCAAAATGATTTAATAAAAGCTGTAGACAAAGATAGGGAAAGTTTACAATCAGAAAATAAATTATTGAAGGAAAAATGTGACAAACTCTCACAAGAAGTTGAAAATTTGAATATCTCATTGAAAATTAACTTTCAAGAGTATGAAAGTTCTATAGGAGAACTTGAAAAGAAAAACATGAAAATAAAAGAAGATTGTGAGAAATCTGATATTGATGTTATAAATCTGAACAAGAATCATTCTGATATTCTGAAACAAAAAGAAAAACAAATAGAGAAATTAGAGCAAAAAGTGGTAACATGTTCTTTACAAATAAATGAATTACATGAAAGGTGTAAGCAAACCGAAAGTGCTTTGAAAGATGCTGAGTTCAAATACTCTGACTTGAAACAAATCAAAGAAAAGAATGAGACTCAGGAATTATCTGCTCTATCTTTACACAACCATGAACTCAGTACCAAACTTGAATCTCTAGAAAATCAAATTAAAGATAAGGAATTGGATTATGAAGAATTGTCTCAGAAGTGTAGAGAATTAGAGAAATCATTTGTTGTTGTACAAACAGAAAACAAAGAATTGCTCCAAAATTGTAAACACATAGAGCTGAAGAAAAAGGCTATGAAAGCCAAGTATTCTCAACTAGTACAGACTAGTAATGAGACTGAAGAAAAACTGCAGAAAACAATATCAAATCTTTCCTCAATGAATAATGATTTAAATGAGAAATGTGTGGCACATGAAACACATATTCAGAACTTGAATATTGATATTGAAAAGTTTGATCAAGTAAAAGCTAATGTAGAGCAGAAATTAAAAGAGACATCTGAACGGAATCGTGATGTTGAATGTTCATTGAAAGAAGTTCAGGATGAAAATCGAGTATTGTCAAAAAAAGTTGAAACAAACAAATGTCACTCAGATCAAGTTTGCTGTGAACTGGAAAATTTAAAACAAATTCACAAAAACAGTGAAGATTGTATAGTAAAACTTGAAACAGAGAATAAAAGTTTAACACACCAGCTTACAGAAGAAACTAAGCAGTTAGAAAAATTACAGCAAAGTCATCAGGATTTCATGGAAGAACTTGAGCAAACACAAAAATCACTATTAAAGCTTCAGGAAGATCATTTTGAGCTGAAAAATAAAAAAGATATGTTGGAAAAAGAAAATGATCAGATGAAGCAGCAGAGAGAAAGACTGTCACAGGAGATAAACAATTTGTCTGATGAGTTAGCTTGTGTTGAACAGGAAAGAAACAGCTATTTTGCATCACAAGAACTTAGAAAACAAAATATAAAGAATAGTGAAGAACCATCTGTTACAACAGACAGTAAAGAGAGCGAAGATGCTCATTATGTACATGTACAAGACAATCATGAAGCTGTTGACAGTCATCTAACAGAAAGAGCAGTACATGTCAATGATGCAGAGGAAATTAAGGAAAGCAATAAAAATGATGATGATGATGATGACAAAAAAGAGGCGGAGGAAGACGATGAATTAATTTCTGAGGAAGAGTTAGAAATTTTAATTCAGCAAAGAATTGATCATGAAAAGAAGCAAATTGAATATGATCTAGAGGAAAAATACGAACTTCAGTTCCGTAAACGTCAAATTGAATTGATGCATACATTTGAAAAGAAACAAAAAGAGTTGCAAAAGGACTTTGAACAACATGTTAATCACAGGGTTGAATCTTTACGTGCTGAGAAGGATCAATCTTTCGTGAAAGCATTGCAGAAAGTCAAAAAAGATTTCGACAAAAAACTTAAAAAGGAGATGGAGAAACAAAGGTTGGCACATTTACAGGAGTTGGCAACAATGGAAGATGAAAGGAAAGGTGGTGGCCACATCAGTGGTGTTGTCAAGAACTTACTTCAGGAAAATCAGGCATGTATACTTATTACATCTTCAATTTTTATTTTTTACAGAGTTTTCAACTTACACTTGAAAATGTCTAAAATTAATCTAAGTAAAAGATTGACATTATAGAAAGGTATAGAAAGATGTACTGTAAATTCAGAAATTATTGCATGCATTTATTATTGCGATTTTGTCATTTTAGACTAAAATGCGATTTTAATTTTTGCGATATTGAGAAAAATCCTGTTTAATTCATATAAAATATTTCAAAATGCCAGTTTAAATTATTGCAATTATAACCCTGTCGCATTTTTCACAATAATAAAAACATCGCAATAATTTCTGAATTTACAGTAACTGATTTTTATTTACCAGTAATTGAAAATGTGCATTTATTATACAAAGTAATATGAGGCTAATAACATCATATTATGATTATTGTATCTGAGGACAGTTATTCAAGTTAAAAAACTTCAGAACATATCAGTAAACAGGTATTGTTATATCACAATATTTAATATACATGTAGTGCACTCGGAACAGAAGATAAATTGTAACGAGAAGTAAAAAGTAAATTTTTACTCCAAAAGACTTTAATTTGCTTTTCTGCATCTTAATTGATTTCGGTAAATAAAAGGAGTTGTGGGATATATGTCAATGAGGCAAATCAACACAAAAATCACTGAAAAGACATCTGAAGGTTAACATTTAATATAATGATTGAATACAAAAATAAAATGTATCATTAATTACTATTTCTCTCCAATACAGAGTTAGAAAAGATGATTTGTCCATTGTATATGGATTGTAAATGTATTGTTCATAATTTGTTGATAGGAATTGGCAGAAGCTAGAGATGCTTTGTTACAACAAGTCGAGCTTTCACACCATCAACAAGACAAGTTAGAGGATGAACTTAGGAGCATGATGGGAGAAAACATTGAGGGAGAGGGAGAATTCCTTCAGGAACCTATAAAACTAAACACAGAACAACCTCAACATTCATATCGTAGTCAGTCACTCCTGCTTGATTGGGAATTCTCTCCTTCAACATCATTTGAGCAGGACAAAGATCCACCAGGTCTTAGTGGACAGTTTGA